GCAGGGGAGGATGGGATGCAGGGAGGATGGCATGCAGGGAGGATGGGATGCGGGGAGGATGGGATGCAGGGAGGATGGGATGCAGGGAGGATGGGATGCAGGGAGGGATGGATGCGGGGAGGATGGGATGCAGGGAGGATGGCATGCAGGGAGGATGGCATGCAGGGAGGAGGGATGCAGGGAGGATGGGATGCAGGGAGGATGGCATGCAGGGAGGATGGGGATGCAGGGAGGATGGCATGCAGGGAGGATGGGATGCGGGAGGATGGGATGCAGGGAGGATGGGATGCAGGGAGGATGGCATGCAGGGAGGAGGGGATGCAGGGACGATGGGATGCAGGGAGGATGGCATGCAGGGAGGATGGGATGCAGGGAGGAGGGGATGCAGGGAGGATGGGATGCAGGGAGGATGGCATGCAGGGAGGATGGGATGCAGGGACGATGGGATGCAGGGAGGATGGCATGCAGGGAGGATGGGATGCGGGAGGATGGGATGCAGGGAGGATGGGATGCCGGGAGGATGGGATGCAGGGAGGATGCATGCAGGGAGGATGGGATGCAGGGAGGATGGCATGCAGGAGGATGGGATGCGGGGAGGATGGGATGCAGGGAGGATGGCATGCAGGGAGGATGGGATGCAGGGAGGAGGGATGCAGGGAGGATGGGATGCAGGGAGGATGGCATGCAGGGAGGATGGGATGCAGGGAGGATGGCATGCAGGGAGGATGGGATGCGGGGAGGATGGAATGCAGGGAGGATGGGATGCAGGGAGGATGGCATGCAGGGAGGAGGGATGCAGGGACGATGGGATGCAGGGAGGATGGCATGCAGGGAGGATGGGATGCGGGGAGGATGGGATGCAGGGAGGATGGGATGCAGGGATGATGGGATGCAGGGAGGATGGGATGCAGGGAGGATGGGATGCGGGGAGGATGGGATGCAGGGAGGATGGCATGCAGGGAGGATGGCATGCAGGGAGGATGGGATGCAGGGAGGATGGCATGCAGGGAGGATGGGATGCGGGGAGGATGGGATGCAGGGAGGATGGGATGCAGGGAGGATGGGATGCAGGGAGGATGGGATGCGGGAGGATGGGATGCAGGGAGGATGGCATGCAGGGAGGATGGCATGCAGGGGAGGAGGGGATGCAGGGAGGATGGGATGCAGGGGAGGATGGCATGCAGGGAGGATGGGATGCAGGGAGGATGGCATGCAGGGAGGATGGGATGCGGGGAGGATGGGATGCAGGGAGGATGGGATGCAGGGAGGATGGCATGCAGGGAGGAGGGGATGCAGGGACGATGGGATGCAGGGAGGATGGCATGCAGGGAGGATGGGATGCAGGGAGGAGGGGATGCAGGGAGGATGGCATGCAGGGAGGATGGCATGCAGGGAGGATGGGATGCAGGGAGGATGGCATGCAGGGAGGATGGGATGCGGGGAGGATGGGATGCAGGGAGGATGGCATGCAGGGAGGATGGGATGCAGGGAGGAGGGGATGCAGGGAGGATGGGATGCAGGGAGGATGGCATGCAGGGAGGATGGGATGCAGGGAGGATGGCATGCAGGGAGGATGGGATGCGGGGAGGATGGAATGCAGGGAGGATGGGATGCAGGGAGGATGGCATGCAGGGAGGAGGGGATGCAGGGACGATGGGATGCAGGGAGGATGGCATGCAGGGAGGATGGGATGCGGGGAGGATGGGATGCAGGGAGGATGGGATGCCGGGAGGATGGGATGCAGGGAGGATGGCATGCAGGGAGGATGGGATGCAGGGAGGATGGCATGCAGGGAGGATGGGATGCAGGGAGGATGGCATGCAGGGAGGATGCGATGCGGGGAGGATGGGATGCAGGGAGGATGGGATGCAGGGAGGATGGGATGCGGGGAGGATGGGATGCAGGGAGGATGGCATGCTGGGAGGATGGGATGCAGGGAGGATGGGATGCGGGGAGGATGGGATGCAGGGACGATGGGATGCAGGGAGGATGGCATGCAGGGAGGATGGGATGCAGGGAGGATGGCATGCAGGGAGGATGGGATGCGGGGAGGATGGGATGCAGGGAGGATGGGATGCAGGGAGGATGGCATGCAGGGAGGATGGGATGCAGGGAGGATGGGATGCAGGGAGGATGGGATGCAGGGAGGATGGGATGCGGGGAGGATGGCATGCAGGGAGGATGGCATGCAGGGAGGATGGCATGCAGGGAGGATGGGATGCGGGGAGGATGGGATGCAGGGAGGATGGGATGCGGGGAGGATGGGATGCAGGGAGGATGGGATGCAGGGAGGATGGCATGCAGGGAGGATGGGATGCGGGGAGGATGGGATGCAGGGAGGATGGCATGCAGGGAGGATGGGATGCGGGGAGGATGGGATGCAGGGAGGATGGGATGCAGGGAGGATGGCATGCAGGGAGGATGGGATGCGGGGAGGATGGGATGCAGGGAGGATGGCATGCAGGGAGGATGGGATGCGGGGAGGATGGGATGCAGGGAGGATGGCATGCAGGGAGGATGGGATGCAGGGAGGAGGGGATGCAGGGAGGATGGGATGCAGGGAGGATGGCATGCAGGGAGGATGGCATGCAGGGAGGATGGGATGCAGGGAGGATGGCATGCAGGAGGATGGGATGCAGGGAGGATGGGATGCAGGGAGGATGGGATGCGAGGAGGATGGGATGCAGGGAGGATGGGATGCAGGGAGGATGGGATGCAGGGAGGATGGCATGCAGGGAGGATGGCATGCAGGGAGGATGGATGCAGGGAGGAGGGATGCAGGGAGGATGGGATGCAGGGAGGATGGGATGCAGGGAGGATGGGATGCAGGGAGGATGGGATGCAGGGAGGATGGGATGCAGGGAGGATGGATGCAGGGAGGATGGATGCAGGGAGGAGGGGATGCACGGAGGATGGGATGCAGGGAGGATGGGATGCAGGGATGATGGGATGCAGGGAGGATGGCATGCTGGGAGGATGGGATGCGGGAGGATGGGATGCAGGGAGGATGGCATGCAGGGAGGATGGGATGCAGGGAGGATGGCATGCAGGGGGATGGGATGCGGGGAGGGGGATGCAGGGAGGATGGGATGCAGGGAGGATGGGATGCAGGGAGGATGGGATGCGGGGAGGATGATGGGATGCAGGGAGGATGGCATGCAGGGAGGATGGGATGCGGGGAGGATGGGATGCAGGGAGGATGGCATGCAGGGAGGATGGGATGCCGGGAGGATGGGATGCCGGGAGGATGGGATGCAGGGAGGATGGGATGCAGGGAGGATGGGATGCAGGGAGGATGGGATGCAGGGAGGATGGGATGCAGGGAGGATGGGATGCAGGGAGGATGGGATGCAGGGAGGAGGGGATGCAGGGAGGATGGGATGCAGGGAGGATGGCATGCAGGGAGGATGGGATGCAGGGAGGATGGCATGCAGGGAGGATGGGATGCGGGGAGGATGGGATGCAGGGAGGATGGCATGCAGGGAGGATGGGATGCAGGGAGGAGGGGATGCAGGGAGGATGGGATGCAGGGAGGATGGCATGCAGGGAGGATGGGATGCAGGGAGGATGGCATGCAGGGAGGATGGGATGCGGGGAGGATGGGATGCAGGGAGGATGGGATGCAGGGAGGATGGCATGCAGGGAGGAGGGGATGCAGGGACGATGGGATGCAGGGAGGATGGGATGCAGGGAGGATGGGATGCAGGGAGGAGGGGATGCAGGGAGGATGGGATGCAGGGAGGATGGCATGCAGGGAGGATGGGATGCAGGGAGGATGGCATGCAGGGAGGATGGGATGCGGGGAGGATGGGATGCAGGGAGGATGGCATGCAGGGAGGATGGGATGCAGGGAGGAGGGGATGCAGGGAGGATGGGATGCAGGGAGGATGGCATGCAGGGAGGATGGGATGCAGGGAGGATGGCATGCAGGGAGGATGGGATGCGGGGAGGATGGAATGCAGGGAGGATGGGATGCAGGGAGGATGGCATGCAGGGAGGAGGGGATGCAGGGACGATGGGATGCAGGGAGGATGGCATGCAGGGAGGATAGGATGCGGGGAGGATGGGATGCAGGGAGGATGGGATGCAGGGATGATGGGATGCAGGGAGGATGGGATGCAGGGAGGATGGGATGCGGGGAGGATGGGATGCAGGGAGGATGGCATGCAGGGAGGATGGCATGCAGGGAGGATGGGATGCAGGGAGGATGGCATGCAGGGAGGATGGGATGCGGGGAGGATGGGATGCAGGGAGGATGGGATGCAGGGAGGATGGCATGCAGGGAGGATGGGATGCGGGGAGGATGGGATGCAGGGAGGATGGCATGCAGGGAGGATGGGATGCGGGGAGGATGGGATGCAGGGAGGATGGGATGCAGGGAGGATGGCATGCAGGGAGGATGGGATGCGGGGAGGATGGGATGCAGGGAGGATGGCATGCAGGGAGGATGGGATGCAGGGAGGATGGGATGCAGGGAGGATGGGATGCGGGGAGGATGGGATGCAGGGAGGATGGGATGCAGGGAGGATGGGATGCAGGGAGGATGGGATGCAGGGAGGATGGGATGCAGGGAGGATGGGATGCAGGGAGGATGGCATGCAGGGAGGATGGGATGCGGGGAGGATGGGATGCAGGGAGGATGGCATGCAGGGAGGATGGGATGCAGGGAGGATGGGATGCAGGGAGGATGGGATGCAGGGAGGATGGGATGCAGGGAGGATGGGATGCAGGGAGGATGGCATGCGGGGAGGAGGGGATGCAGGGAGGATGGGATGCAGGGATGAACCGCTTAGAGGGGATGAGAGTGGGAGGCAGGAAGACACCTTGGTTGCGGTCAGCATGACCTCTGACAGGCAGGTGCGCATGGCCCCATGCTGCAACTGTTATGATCGCTGCTGGCTTGGCATGCCATGTCGTATAACATACTTCTCCCCGTGTCCTTTTTGCATGCCTCATGCCCATGCCCCATACCCCGTGCCGCATGCCCCACACCGTGGCAGATAGCAGTGGAGCTGCGCCTGAGGGACTTGGGAGGGCTGGTGGTAATCGATTTCATTGACATGCACAAAGGTAGGACACCCTCCTGCCGCTCTAAGACCGCCCCCTGCCGCTCTAATACCGCCCCCTGCCGCTCTAAGACCGCCCCCTGCCGCTCTAAGACCAAACCCCTGCTATTGTAGGACCCCCTTTCCGCTCTAGGACTGCTCCCTTGCTCCTCTAGTGTGAGAAACTGAACTGATGATTGGATTAGAAACTGAGGGGGTGTACATAGGTGAGAAGTAGGAAGGGGGGTTTGGTTGGGAGGTGGCAAAGTTTATTGGCATCCCAAATAAGTTGGGTTGGCCAACTTATTGAGGGTCCAATAGTCTCGATTGGGATTATTGGGGGTCCTGAGAATTAGGAGCCCAACCAATTTGGGGATCCAACAAAGTCGAAAGAAGTTGGGAACCAAACTCCCAATTGGGGTTTATACACTCTAGTGGGGAGCATATAAATACCTAAAACGATGAAACGATGTAGGCTAGCAGAAGAGGGGTAGATAATCTAACAATCTTGCAGGTTGGGCGATCTTGCGCGCTGGGCGATCTCGTGCGCTGGATGATCTTGTGCATTGGGCGATCTTGGGCGATCTTGGGCGATCTTGGGCGATCTTGGGCGCTGGGCGATCTTGCATGGCCTTGGGCGTTGGGCGATCTTGCATGGTCTTGCGCGTCGGGCGATCTTGCATGTTGGACGATCTTGCGCGTTGGGCGATCTTGCGCGTCGGGCGATCTTGCGCGTTGGACGATCTTGCGCGTTGGACGATCTTGCGTGTTGGGCGATCTTGCGCGTTGGGCGATCTTGGGCGTTGGTTGATCTTGGGCATTGGGCGATCTTGCGCGTTGAGCAATCTTGCGCGTTGGGCGATCTTGTGCGTTGGACGATCTTGTGCATTGGGCGATCTTGGGCGCTGGGCAATCTTGCGTGATCTTGCGTGTTGGGCGATCTTGCGTTGTCTTGCGCGTTGGGCGATCTTGCACGTTGGACGATCTTGCGCGTTGGGCGATCTTGCGCGTCAGGCGATCTTGCGCGTTGGGCGATCTTGCGCGTCGGGCGATCTTGCGCGTTGGGCGATCTTGTGCGTTGGACGATCTTGCGCATTGGGTGATCTTGTGCGTTGGGCAATCTTGGGCGTTGGGTGATCTTGGGCATTGGGCGATCTTGCGCATTGGGCAATCTTGCGCGTTGGGCGATCTTGCGCGACGGAAGATCTTGTGCGTTGGGCGATCTTACGCGTCGGGCGATCTTGTGCGTCGGACGATCTTGCGCGTCGGACGATCTTGCACGTCGGGCGATCTTGCGCGTTGGCGATCTTGCGCGTTGGGCGATAATGCACGTCGGGCAATCTTGCCTGTTGGGCGATCTTGCACGTCGGGCAATCTTGCCTGTTGGGCGATCTTGCACGTCGGGCGATGTTGCGTGTTGGGGGCGATCTTGCGCATTGGGCAATCTGGCGCGTTGGGTGATATTGCGCGCCGGGCGACCTTGCGCGTCGGGCGATCTTGCGCGTTGGGCGATCTTGCGCGTTGGGCGATCTTGGACGTTGGGCGAACTTGGGCATTGGGCGATCTTGTGCGCTGGACGATCTTGCGCGTTAGGCGATCTTGCGTGTTGGACGATCTTCCACGTCGGGCAATCTTGCCTGTTGGGCGATCTTGCACATCGGGCGATGTTGCGCGCTGGGCGATTTTGCGAGTTGGGCGATCTTGCGCGTTGGGCGATCTAAGGTGTTGGGCGATCTTGCGCGTTGGGCAATCATGCGCGTTGGGCGATCATGCGTGTTGCGCGATCTTGCGCGTTGGGCGATCTTGCGCGTTGGGCAATCTTGCGCGTCGGGCAATGTTTCCCACTGGTTTGCCACCACCATGAGTGGTTTTCCACTGGTTTGCCGCCAACCTAAGTGGTTTCCCATTGGTTTGCCACCACCCTGAGTGGTTTCCCACTGGTTTGCCACCACCCTGAGTGGTTTCCCACTGGTTTGCCACCACCTTGACTGGTTTTCCACTGGTATGCCCCCACCCTGAGTGGCTTTCCACTAGTTTGCCACTGGTTTACCACCACCCTGAGTGATTTCCGCTGGTTTCCCACCACCCTGAGTGGTTTCCCAGTGGTTGGCCACCACCATGAGTGATTTTCCAATGGTTTGCCACCACCCTGAGTGGTTTACTTGTGGCTTGCCACCATCTCATTTGACAAGGTCTCACTTGACCTGGTCTCACTTGACGAGGTCTCACTTGACGAGGTCTCACTTGACAAGGTCTCACTTGACAAGGCCTCTCTAGGACCGCCCTCTGCAGCTCTGGGACCGCCCCCTGCAGGTCTGGGACCGCCCCCTGCAGCTCTGGGACTGCCCCCTGCCGCCCTAGGTCCACCTCCCCCCTGTGCCCATGTCTCCCTGTGCCCATGTCTCCCTGTGCCCATGTCTCCCTGTGCCCATGTCTCCCTGTGCCCATGTCTCCCCGTGCCCATGTCTCCCCGTGCCCATGTCGCCCTGTGCCCATGTCTCCCTGTGCCCATGTCTCCCTGTGCCCATGTCTCCCTGTGCCCATGTCTCCCTGTGCCCATGTCTCCCTGTGCCCATGTCTCCCTGTGCCCATGTCTCCCTGTGCCCATGTCTCCCTGTGCCCATGTCTCCCTGTGCCCATGTCTCCCTGTGCCCATGTCTCCCTGTGCCCATGTCTCCCTGTGCCCATGTCTCCCTGTGCCCCCTGTTCCCCCTGTGCGCGTGTCCCCCTCCCCTCCCGCCCCCCAGCGGAGCACCGGCGGGTGGTGGAGGAAGAGGTGCGGCGCGCCATGGCGGGGGACCGGCGCAAGGTGCGCGTGGGAGCCATCTCCGAGTTCGGCCTGCTGGAGCTCACCAGGCAAAGGGTGAGCGGGCTGGCAGGCTCAGGTGTGTGCGCAGCGCGGGGGGGCAGGTGGGAACTGACAACTCTTCCATGACAACTCATCCCTGGGCGGGCCGCGCAGTAAGGTGCGTGTGGAGGTCACCAGACAGGGTGGTTGCGCATGGATGGGGGCGTGCGTGCAGGGGCAGGGGGAGTGAGGTGGTGGGTGAGTGGTCATTGCACTGTATGTCGCAGCCACCTCCAGTACTCCATCCCCCCCTATCCCTAAGTGGTCCTTTGCATTAGGTAGCACGGGGTACAAGCGAGGTTTAGGGAAACCTTAAACCCCCATCCCCATCCCTCACCGCCCTTCTCCCCTTCCTTCTTCCTTTCCTCCGCCCCCACCGGCCATCAGATGCGTCCAAGTCTCGCCGCATCGCTGACAGCGTCGTGCCGGTGCTGCTGGGCGGCGGGGCGGGTGGAGTCACGCCTGGCCATGCTGGCGCGCCTGGAGCGAGCGCTGCAGCGCTGCAAGGTGGGCTGCTGTGATGGGTGGGGGCCATGGGGAGAGGGGGAGAGAGTCCTTTCAAGGCTCTGGAGCCGTGACGAGCTGTGGGGCACCAGGGGCGGGTGTTCTTCGCACTGCGTGAGGAGGCGTGGGGCGCGTGGGCAGGATGGAGGAGGCACTGCAGCGCCGCCCGGTGCGGTGGGGTGCATGGCGGGATGGGGGGAGCAAGGGCGATGCATGAGAGTGTGTGGCAGGGGGGAGTGGTGGTTGTTTGTTGAGGGGGAACGGGTTAAGTGGAGGGAAGGGTGGAGTGATGGAAGGAAGATGGAGATGGCTGGGTGCGTGTTCAACCGTGAACGCCTTGCGCACCTCCTGTGCCATCCCTCCTCCGTGTGTCCCCTTCCCCCCCTCCCCCCTCTGCGCCGCCACGGTTGCCCCTCACCCACCACCCCCGCCAGGCCCATGCTGTGGCAGCAGCACGCGGCAGCCAGGCCAGGCAGTCCAAGCGCGCGCGGGAGAGGCAGAGGGGGGAGCAGCGCAGGGCAGATGGGGATGGAGGTGGGGGTGGAGGGGGAGAGGGCGGACATGAGGAGACGGTGGTGGCTCTGGGTGCCTCCTCTGCCACGTGTGAGCAGCTGCTGCTGGGCCCCGCCCTGCCAGATGGCACTCCCTCACTCCTCCACGTCATCTGCAGTGCCCTCCACGTCACCTTGCACATACAGGTGCGTGGTACTAAGGCAGTTTGCTGGCTGTGCCCATTGCTGTCCGGCCCAACGCTTGTGCTGTGGCGCGCACAGCTCCGCCACACCATGCCATCCTTGCTGGATTCCTCCCTGCTGACTCTCCCCCTGCTGACTCTCCCCCTGCTGACTCTCCCCCTGCTGACTCTCCCCCTGCTGAATCTCCCCCTGCTGACTCTCCCCCTGCTGACTCTCCCCCTGCTGACTCTCCCCCTGCTGACTCTCCCCCTGCTGACTCTCCCCCTGCTGACTCTCCCCCTGCTGACTCTCCCCCTGCTGACTCTCCCCCTGCTGACTCTACCCCTGCTGACTCTCCCCCTGCTGACTCTCCCCCTGCTGACTCTCCCCCTGCTGACTCTCCCCCTGCTGACTCTCTCCCAGCCTCTCCCCATTTCATTCCATCTGCCTGCCTTTCTCTCCCTGCCATGCCCCATCTCCCCTTCACCCCCCCCAGGTGGACCCCTCTCTGCCCTACGGCTACTTCCTCCTCTCACACCTCGGCCACACCACCCTAGACCCCCCCCTCACTCCCCACAACCCGCCTTCCCAACTACCGCCCTCGTACAACCTCCCCTCGTATCTCGCCTCCAGCCCACCATGGGTTTCCTCCTCCCCTTCTCCTCCCTCCTCATCTCCCTCTGCTGGTGCCAGTGCATCACCCATGGCACCCCCACCGCCAGCAGCTGCGACTGATAGTGCTGGCAGGAGCAGCAGCAGCATGCGTGTGTTTGTGCAGCCTCTGCCAGCCGGTGCGTCCGTGCGTGCCGATGCCCCTGTGCCCTCCCACATCACTGTCTCCCCACTCCGGCCTGATGCAGCGGAGGCAAGGGAGAGGGAAGGGGAGGCTTGGGAGAGGCAGGGGGCAGCTGAGCTGGCTGCAGGCAGTGCACCAGCAACGGCCACCACCGCTGCTGCGACTGCTGGCAGGGGATCAAGTGCAGCCGAGGCGCCGCAACGTGGCGGCGAGCTGGCAGGGGGAAGCGGACTGGTGATGCGGAGGAGGGAGGCGGGAGTGGCAGGGGAGGCTAAGGGTGTGGGAAAGAGTCCAAAGAGCAGGTCGAGTAGCGGCTCTGGTGGTAAAGGTACCACCAGCAGCAACAGCACCAGCAGCAGCAGCAGTAGTGCTGGGGGCAGCAAGAGTAGTCGAGGTGGCAGTGGTGCAAGTGTGAAAAAGGCCAAAGAGGAGGTGAAGAAGAGGGGAGAGGGTGGTGGAAACAATGTAGGGACAAAGAGAAGACAAAAATAGGAGCAAAGGGGGGAAATATCTATTGCGACATGGATTCGGATTCGGTGGCTACACCTCCTGGAGATGTTGTGGAATGCACTGTTGGAATATTTGAGGAAATCTTTGTAGAGCTCTTCCATAACGTATTGTGTCCATCTAAATCCGCGGCATGCTCGCCTTGTCAATTTCGTAATTTGCCCTACGAACCTTACGAGTAACTATCAACTACTTGACGGTGGTTTGAAAATATCCTCCTGAAAGCCATTCTCCATTGGGGAACCCACATGCAACTCTCCCCTAACGCTTCGTCACTCTCACAAATTCTTAGTTTTAATATTACGGGCTACAGCGAGATTCAACATCCACCATACAAAACCCCTTATGCTAACGAGTTTCTGCAGCTTGGAGGGAGGGACAGGGCTTTACGGAAAGCAAATCGCCAGCGCGGGTGTCAGACAGGTGCTGTGTGGTTTGTCTGTTCCTGACATTTGCTACACTTAGCCCGCGGTATTTTTACACCCAGTATTTTCACAGGGGATGCCACTGAGAGGGTATTTACCCCCCGAAAGCAGATCCTGAATACCAGATCCGGATACCCTTGAAAAACAACCAGAACTTGGGCTTCTATACAAAATGTTTACTTCTCGATTCACTGTTTCTCGAGTCAGGAAAACCGACGTCAGCTTAGGCAGTGCTCAAAGTTTTTCCCGCGTGAGTGTGCCAAGCTTAGGCCGTAGGAACAAGGGGGTACTGTCTACGCACTCAGAAATGGTCAGGGTGGAAACAAAAGGTTTTCTGCCGCCCAGTTTCAGGGTGTGATATTACCCCGGGCTAGGTGTACTGAGCTGTACTGGCAGCTTCCCGTCGAGAGAAGGTGAGGGGGAAATTACCCATATGCCAGACTGAGCACGTGGCAACTTTTTGTTGACTTGAGGCCCATCCGCGTGGAAACGGCGCCTAGTCAGCGCGCAAAGGACCAATCCGCAACACCCTTCCCCAACAGCCGCGTCGTATCCATGAACACTGGGGCAGCCAGCAGCCACTAAAATCGCGTCGCATGTTCTACCACCCCTGCTCTATCCACACCGTTGGTGGATTCAATTGGCCAAAACCTGAACCTCCTTGCCTTCTCCGAGGTAAGATCATCCAATCTCGACCGTCCCTTTTCATGCAGATGATTCGCGCGATGCCCCTCGGCTCGTCCCCTGCCTGCCCCTCCTGGACGGTGGGTAAAGGTCACCTGGATCTTTGCACTTTCATTTTCATCCATTCATCTGCCTCGAGTTTGTCTCAGTTACTCAACCTTCAGTGTTCTCCTTCAACCTTGGCCCTAGCCGACGATCTCCTTGGAATTCTTCAGCATCAGCTGCCGCCGATATTGACGGCCAGCTAGTGTACTGGTTTCCCTGCACTACCTCAGCTGGATTTACCGCAGCGTGCATCTGACGTTCTTCCAGCAGCCATGGCAGCGATAGCATCACCGATCACGTCGGGAACGCCGAGCAGACATCTGTCGTCCTGTAGTCAGCGGCAGCGAACATGCTCGGGCGCTCAGGTCTCTAGCTCTGCACAGCAGCCGCTTAGAACACGAGAAGTCCAGCGATCATGCACTAGGGCCCTGGCGGTTGTCCCAGGGACGGTGAGCAAGCGCACGAGGCAGTACCAGCTGGAGTTCCTCCAGACGACAGCCAAGCCGAAGCCGCAAAGTCCGGTCAGGGAGGTTCCAGACGCCGGGTTGACCCGACGACAACGGTATCAGCAAGACGAGGACGGCGGCCTGCCGTTGAGGGAGATCGCTCTGATCGCGACTGACGTGGACGGGACTCTGCTCAACTGCAACCACGCCTTGAGTGATCGGACTGAGAGAGCGCTTCTTATGGCGCAAGAGCAAGGCATCCAGGTCAGCATCCGTATGATGGCGCAAGATCGATCCTTGATGCGCTATTCAGCTGAATTTCATGCTTTTGAGCGGCCTCAGATGGCAGCTAGCTCAGTAAACCGCTCATTCTTCGGTGCAGGTCGTTCTGGCGACTGGCAAAGCGAGGGGACCGTGGTTTCCCGAAATTCAGGAGCGCTTGAAGCTTGAAACTCCTGGAGTCTTCCTGCAGGTACTCTATCGCAGTAACCCAGGCACTTTTGTGCTTGCATCTTCGAGTACCTTTTGCTAACGCGTTACGCTAACCTTATTGTCTTACTTCAGGGCTTGATGGTGTACGGAGCAGACGGCTCTCTGCTGTACGAGCGAACCATGGCGGAGGATGTGGCTCGGCAGGTTATTCGGTTCGGAAAGGCCGAAAGCGTCACGCTCACAGCCTACTGCGGCGAGCGAGTGTAAGCAGCATGCTTGCTTCCGCCTCTCCCCGGTCGTGCCATTGGGACTCGCAGAGCTGCATTTTGAATAAGTTAGTGTTACGCGAGCTCCTTTCAGCTCCTTTCCATACAGCACGACAAGGCACTTAGCGTTTTGATAGTAAAACTCTACAATTGATCAAGACGCTTAGTGCCTTGTCGTGCTGATTGGAAGCCTGATTGGCTTCACATCCATTTGTAGATTTTACTGTCAAAACGCCAATCAGTCACTTCAGCGTTTTGACAGTAAAAAAGTCTCACGCTTCCTTTCCGTGTGCCAGATTGTGTGAAGAGAGGGACGAGCACACTGACCGTTTGATTCCCTATGGCGAGCCGATTCCAGAAGCCGTTGGGCCCCTCGAAGACCTGATTGGCTTCACATCCATTCACAAGGTAGGCTGCTTAACGTGCCTGCTCTGCTGCTCTGCTACCGTTTCTGTGATGCTCTTATCCCCCCTTCTCTGTGGCCTCTCAATCTCGTTATTGAGACTTCCGGCTTCACGCCATTGTTTGTTTTCCGTGCTTTGAAAATCGCCCAGTTGCGGAACATCGCCTTGTGCCATCACCATCCTCCCAACACGACCCCTCCAGCTCATTCTCATGGCGGGCGATGACACCCTGGCAGCACTGCGGCCTCGTCTGGAGGCGGAGCTGGATGGCATGGCGTCGCTCATCACATCCGTGCCTGGCATGCTGGAAGTGCTCCCGCTTGGTGTTTCCAAGGCCACGGGTCTTGCCAGGGTGCTCGACATCATGGGGCTGCACCCGCAGCAGGTCATGGCAGCAGGAGATGGTGAGTCAGTGGCGACTCTGCCTTTTCAGCCTTGCACATTTGACCCGCATCTTTCCTGGTTTGTGGCGGAGAAGAGGTCCTAATTTAATTCTTGGCCCTTCTCATTGGCATGGCAGGTGAGAACGACATTGAGATGCTGCAGATGGTTGGCCTGGGAGTGGCAATGGCGAATGCTGGCCCGTCAGTTAAGGCAGTGGCAGACCATGTGTCAAGCTCTAATGACCATGATGGCTTGGCGGCTGCTGTGGAGAGATTTGCCCTCTCTGCTGGCGTTTGGTGCTGGGACTAGGATGCGTATAAGGCGCATGTGCGAACCGCGCAGTTGTAGGGCAGCATAGCAGATGTATAGACCACCACCATGTCATAACACTCACCTATACTCCGTTGCTTTGAAACTTCTGACGCAGCTACATTAGGGCGCGTTCCTACGGGCCCCTTGTCGTGGCAGTTTATTAAAGCCGCGGTACACATTCACTTCAATTTGTTTCAAGTGAAACATTTGGAATAGTTGTAACTGAGTGATTCCTGCAGGAGGTGGCGAGTCTAGATCTCGCTACCTGCAGATTGTGGCATTTGTGTACTGTTCCCAATCGCTACCTCTCGACTCATCCCCAGGCCTCTCGGTTCAAGGGTAAACGTCCAGAATGTCATGTACAGTCCGGGTCTTTCGCGATGAAATCCTGATTTTTTGGGTTTCAGACTCACAAACCTCTTTCTTGACTGATTCCGGGCATTTCCAAGGAACTTCCTCAGCAATCCGGATTTCGTGAAAATTTATCCTGGCCATCCGAATGCCGTGGAAACTCACCCATGCTGGAATTGCAACCCTACCCTCCCCCTCTTCCACCACCCCCCCCCCCCCCCCTGTCAAACATGTTTATCTACAATGTTTGTATAGACTGTATAGGGTCATCTCTTAGAGAGTACAACCCTTAGATATATGTCCTTGTACAATTCTTTCTAGTCATTATTATTCAGTTTTCCTTTGAGATGGTATTACCCGTAGGTTGGTTCCCCTCCACCTACCGCTTCCGCCCGTGCCTCCTAGGCCCCGCCACCCCCTCCGTTCCTCCTAGGCCCCGTCGCGCCCCCCTGGGCCCCACCGCGCTGCCTAGGCCCCGTCGCGCCCCCCTGGGCCCCATCGCGCTGCCTAGGCCCCGTCGCGCCCCCCCTGGGCCCCATCGCGCTGCCTAGGCCCCGTCGCACCCCTCCTGGGCCCCTTCGTGCCCCGTAGGCCCCGTCGCGTCCCCCCTGGGCCCCATCGTGCCTCCTAGGCCTCGTCGCGCCCCCCTGGGCGCGCCTCCTAGGCCCCGTCGCGCCCCCCTGGGCCCCATCGCGCTGCCTAGGCCCCGTCGCGCCCCTCCTGGGCCCCCTTCGTGCCCCGTAGGTCCCGTCGCGCCCCCCTGGGCCCCATCGTGCCTCCTAGACCCCGTCGCGTCCCACTGGGCCCCATCGCGCTGCCTGGGCCCCGTCGCGCCCCTCCTGGGCTCCTGTAGCGCTTCCTCGCCCGTCGCGCCCCCCCCTGGGCCCCTGCAGTGCCTTCTAGCCCGTCACGCCCCTCCTGGGCCCCTCGTGCCTCCTCGACCCCGTCGCACCTGCCTGGCCCCGTTGTGCCTGCCTGGCCCCGTCGAGCCTGCCTGGCCCTCGCCGCGCTGCCTGGCCCCGCCGCGCCTGCCTGGCCCCGTCGCGCCTGCCTGGCCCTGCCGTGTCTCCTGGGCCCGTCGCGCCTGCCTGGCACTGCCGCACTTGCCTGGCCCCGCCGCGCTACCTGGCACTGCCGCACCTGCCTCGCCCCGTCGCGCCTGCCTGGCCCCGTCGCGCCTGCCTGGCCCCGCCGCGTCTCCTGGCCCCGCCGCGCTGCCTGGCCCCGTCGAGCCTGCCTGGCCCTGCCGCGTCTGCCTGGCACTGCCGCGCCTGCCTGGCCCCGTCGCGCCTGCCTGGCCCCGTCGCGCCTGCCTGGCCCCGCCGCGCCTCCTGGCCCCGCCGCGCTGCCTGGCCCCGTCGCGCCTGCCTGGCCCCGTCTCGTCTCCTGGCCCCGCCGCGCTGCCGGGCCCCGTCGCGCCTGGCTGGCCCTGCCGCGCCTCCTGGCCCCGCCGCCCCTGCCTGGCCCCGCCGCGCCTGCCCGGCCCTGCCGCACCTCCTGGCTCTGCCGCACCTCCCGTGCCTCACCCGCCGTGCCTGACCGGCCGGCGCCTCTTCGTACCTGCTCGCACGTGCTGGGGCGCCGTTTTGCGGCCGCCGTGTTGGAGGGCGCTGCCGTCCTGTTCCTGCGGAGCTGTGCCGCTGACCTTGCACGATGGCTGACTTCGTGCTCCGACTGGACGCCGAGGGCCACGCGGTTGACTTCGCCGCCTGGCTCTCTGACCTCCGCCGCCACCTTACAGGTCAGCGTCAGGATGGCCACTCTTTGGTTGTCCATGTCGATGGTTTGCTCCCCCGCCCCCCTGCGCCCGTTCCCCTCCCTGCTGACCCCTCCTCTGATGCCCGTGAGACCTTCTCTACTGCTGCACTTGCCTGTGCTGTCTGGGACTCCCGCGATGCGGTCGCTCAGGTTGCTATTAGCCACGCCCTCCCTGTGTCTGAACGCTCGCGTTTTGCTACCATTGCGACGGCCAAAGCCCACTTAGACGCAGTCATTGCCCGCTATTCCACACCCGCGTCTGCCTCTGCTGGCCGCTTGCTTTTCCCGATGCTCTTCCCAGACCTTGCAGCCTTCCCTACCGTCGCAGACTTTGCCGCTCACCTGCGTGCCCTAGAGACCCGCTATCGCACTGCCAGCACTGCTGCACAGCTCACTGCGCTCCCCCCTCCTTTCTGCATGACGCTCTATTTCATCGCCATGCGCCTGCCGAACCGCCTCGCTAGTGCCCGCGATCACTTCCTTAGCCAGCACCCGGCTGACCTCACCCTCACTGCCTTTGTCGACACCCTCACCGAGATCGAGACTCGCCAGCGCACTATCGCTCAGTCGAGCGGTGCGCCGGCAGTCTCTATCTTTCACGGCTGTGCCCCCTCCCAGTGCACGTTCACTGACGTTTCGGCTGCGGTCGCCACGGTGCCCCCTCCCACCGAGACGGCTGCTGCGGTCCACCCGCAGCAGCGCTCGCGCCGTAGTGGCCGTGGTCACCAGGGAGGTCGGGGTGGTGGCGCAGGTGGTGGTGGTGGTGTTAGTGGTAGTGACGGTAGTCCGCCTGCTGGGACTACCACTGGTCGGCAGGAGCAGCAGCCCCTGCCGCAGCCCAAGCCGCCGCCGCCGTCCCAGCAGCAGCCGTCGCCCCAGCAGCAGCCGCCGCAGCAGTGGGCTCGTCTCCCGCCTGGTTGGCCTGGCACCGGCGGAGGTGGTGGCCGTGGTGGCGGCCCGCGCAGCTCGGCGTCTACCAACGGCTCCGGTGCTGTCACCTGCCAGTACCAGCTTCAGACCGGGCCTCTTCGCGGCACTCTGTGTCGCCGCCCGCACCCGACTGCCCGCTGTTTTCGCCGCCTTGACGATCTTTTTCGTCGTCGCTTTGGCCCGGCCACAGACCTCCCTGACTGGCACAGCCTGCTCCGCCAGGGCGTGCCGATCTTTGAGTTAGACATGGATCAGATAGGTGCTGCTTTGCATGCTTTGTATTCTGACGCTTCTAGTTTTGCTGGATCTTATTATCCTGTGTTCTCCAGCTTAGGTGTTGCAGCCTTGTGTAGCATAGCTTCCCCTGCTGCGTCAGGCGTAGGACTGCCTAGTTTGCCTAGCCCAGTCTCTGCACCGGCCCCGTTCCCGGCCTCCGCCACTGCATCGCTGTCGTTCACTCTCGACTCCGGTGCTTCTGCCTGCTTCTTCCACGACCGCTCCGCGCTCACGCCGCTTGCTACACCTGCTGTCGTCTCTCTCGCTGACCCCTCTGCGGGTCCTGTCGTTGCTCGCTGTTCTACGTCCCTTCCCTGTCCTGCAGTTCCCTCGGGCTCCCTTACAGGCCTCCACGTTCCCTCGTTCTCGAGGAACCTGGTTGGTGTCGGCTGTCTCCAGGACCTCGGCGTCACCACCACGTTCCCCGGGCACGAGCGGTTCGCTGTCTGTTCTGAGGCTGTCTCAGGTTCCCCTCTTGCGACATTCCCCCGGGGCCCGGTGTCCGGTCTGTTTACCCTAGACACCGCTTCCCCCTCGGTTGGTGCGTCCTCCCAGGTCGCTGCAGCTTGCTCGTGTCGTTCCCTCACTCACCCGTCCCTTCTCTGGCACCACCGCTTAGGTCACCCTGCTCTCCCTCGTCTGCGTCACATGTCCCAGCACGGTCTTGTCTTAGGTCTCCCCGCGTCGCTCCCTGCCCTTCCTCCCTCGACTGTGCCACCGTGCACGCCTTGCATCGAGGGCCGCCTCCGCCGTGCTCCTCACTCCTCCTCGCTGCGCCCTGCGACTGCCCCCCTCCAGACCCTACACCTGGACGTCTGGGGCCCTGCCCCCGTCCCCGGACCGCGCAGTGAGCACTACTTCCTTGTGCTCGTCGATGATTACACGCGCTACACCACGGTGTTTCCTCTGGAGCGGAAGGCCGACGTGCCCGACGTTCTTCTACCGTGGGTTGTGGCTGCGCGTCTTCGCTGCAGTCTCCCCGTGTTGTGTCTCCACTCTGACCGTGGCGGCGAGTTCGCCTCTGGTCGGCTTGGCCAGTTTTGTCGTGCGGAGGGCATCACCCAGACGTACACCTTGCCGGACTCGCCACAGCAGAATGGGGTTGCTGAGCGCCGCATTGGCTTGGTCATGGAGGTTGCTCGTACCTCCATGATTCATGCTGATGCCCCCCATTTTCTGTGGGCGTTCGCTGTTCGCTACGCTGCTCACCAGCTTAACTTGTGGCCACGCTCTCAGCGGCCACAGGTTTCGCCGACCCTCCTCTGGACCGGGTCCCCTGGTGACGCGTCTGCGTTCCACGTCTGGGGCTGTCTTGCTCACGTTCGTGCCTCTGGCACGGACAAGCTCACTGCCCGCACGGTCCCCTGTGTCTTCCTTGGTTTCCCCCTCGACTCGTCTGACTGGCTGTTCTACCACCCCCCGTCTCACCGCTTCCTCCACTCTCGTGACGTCACCTTTGACGAGTCTGTCTCCTTCTACCGTCGCTTCCCTCACCGAGGTCTCCGCGTTGCCCCGCCCCTGTTCCTTGCTCCCTCTCCCCCGGTAGCCCCTGCGCCTCCCCCGCCTCGCCCTGCCCCGTCTGGTGTCTCTCACGTCACTCCCCTCCCGTCGGTTGTCCCCGTTGAGGAGTCCGCTGACTCTGGTGGTTTACCTGGCCCGTCCGTGCCGTGTCCCCCTCCCCCGGTGTCTTCGCCTCCACGGTCGCAGTCGCCCCCTTTGACGCAGCCGCCGTCGTCGCTGCTGTTGCCGCCGCCGCCGTCGCTGCCGTCGTCGCTGCTGCCGCCGCTCTTGGCCCCTGCGGCTGCTCGCGTGGAGGAGGGTGTTCGTCCTGCAGCTTCTGGGGGTGCCGCTGGTGTTGGAGGAGGTCCTCGCTCTGGGGGTGTTGATTCTGGGGGTGCTGTTGTTGAGGGTTCCGCCACCGGTCGTCCTCCCTCTGCCGGTCCGAGCGTTCCGGCACAGTCGCCGCTGGTCTCCGCTCTCCGCCTGCTCGGCCTTCCCTCCCCAGACCGCTCCCCGGTGTCTTCCCCGCCGTCTGCTGACCTTCCTGTCTACGGTCCTGTGTTCCCGCCGCCGGACTCGTCTCCGGCCCGGCTTCCTCCTCGTTCTCCTCCTGTGTCCCCTCCACTGTTTCCTGACCCTACACCTCTGTCGCACGTTTGGTCTCGCCGTCCCTCCCGTGCTCGTCCCGTCTCTCCTGTCCTGCGCTCCCACCCTTTGTTGCTCCGTTCCCACGCGTCTCGTCCTCCCCTCCTCCCGTCACCTCCTCCCTCGTCCCTTGCTATTTCGCCTCCTCCGTTCTCTGACTACCTCCATGCCGCTCGTCCCCTTGTCCCTCGGGTTCTTGCCTCTCTTGTTACCGACCCTTCTGTTCCCGTCTGGCGCCTTGACGCGCTTGTCGCTGCTGTCGCTGACTTCGCCTCTACCCGCCGCCTTGACTACGCTACTGCTCTGGTCTCTGACCCTGCCCGTCCTCCGTCCGTCGGGGGTGCACCTGCCCTTGGCAGTGACGTTCTAGAGGACAGGCAGTACGAGCTTGCTTTCCTTTCTGAGGCCGCACCCCATCTCTGCTCCATGCTCCTAGTCCCTGAGAGGAGTCTGGAGGAGGGAACAACGGGCCGTAAACAGGGTGCACCAGAGGTGGAACAGGCGGGTGGACAGGGGAACCTTGGGCAAGACCAAGGAGACGAAGGGCAGACTCTAGTTGCACCTGCTGTGGCGGCTGCGCCTGCTGCTGCGGCTGCTGCTGCGACTGCGACTACAACCGCTGCTGCTCCTACGGCTGCAATTTCTCCATGTCCTCTCCAGGACCTCGAGCGGCATTGGGGCTGCCACTGGCACTCCCCGAAACAGCACACCTGGAGGAGGCGCCACAAGGACAGCAGGCGTGCCCCCAACAGCTGGGCCCCCATAGTCAGGTGACTCCCCCACAAGGGCAACTGAGGGGAACTGAGCGGCATGGGAGACACCGGATTGGGCCATGCGGGGCGGGAGGGGTGCGGCAGTAAGGGCAGGGACGAGGAAGAGAGGAGGAGGAGACACATGAGCGCTGTGGTACAGGAAGTGCCGGTAGTAGGGGGAGCGTCTCGTCGAAGGTAAACTCACGAGAGTGGTAAAAGCGGTGGTGTGACGGGTGGTAGAATAGCCTGTTAGAGGCATCAAGTGGAAACCCCAGGAAGACACAAGGAAGGGTGCGGGCTGAGAGCTTTTTTGCACGAGTGTCACGGACGTGAGCAAGGCTGCCCCATACGTGGAACGCAGACGCGTCACCAGGAGACCCGGTCCAGAGGAGGGTCGGCGAAACCTGTGGCCACTTGGAGTGCGGCCATAGGTTAAGCTGGTGAGCATCGTAGCACACGACGTATGGCCACAGAAAATGGAGTGCATCGGCGTGGACCATGGAGGTGTGAGCTACCTCCATGATGAGGCCGATGCGTCACTCAGCGACCACATTCTGCTATGGGGAGTCCAGTAGTGTATACGTCTGGCGGATGCCCTCCGTACAACAGAATTGTCCTAGAGTGCCAGAGGCGAACTCGCCACCAAGGTCAAAGTGTAAGCGACCTACAGGCAGGCAATGGTGTGTGCGAATAGTAAGAAGCCACGGGAGGAGAACGGTTGGCACGTCGACATTCCGCTCCAACGAGAACACTGTGGTGAAGCGCGAGAAGTCGTCAACAACGACTAGAAAGTAGCGCTCCCAACTAAGACCATGGACAGGGGCAAGGCCCAAGACGTCCATGTGCAGCATCTGTAGCAGCATTGTGGTAGGACGAAACGAGGAGGAGTGAGGGGCAGCACGTTGCCGACCCTCAATGCACGACGTGCACAATGGCACTACCGACGTAGGCAGGGCACGAAACGATGCAGAGAGATCAGTGACTAGACCATGCTGGGACATTTGCCTAAGACGCGGGAGTGCAGGGTGACCTAAGCGGTGATGCCACAGAAGGGTCGGGTGGGCTATCAAGCGACAGAAGCAGGACGCAGCAACCACGGCAAACGCAGCAGTCGGCGGGGACTCAGTGTGCAGTGTAAAGGTACCTGACCCTGGGTCACGCTCTAACGTGTCCGGTGGCCGTGTTTGTGCAAGCAGCGTGTCTCTTGCGGCCAGGGAACGTAGTGGTGCTGCCTTGGTCTAGAAGGTGACCGACACCCATTAGGTTCCTGGCAAACGAGGGGATGTGCAGACTAGTGAGGGAGCCCGAGGGGATAGCAGGACAAGGGAGAGTGGTGGTGGTACGTGCGACAGCTGTGGCAGAGGAGTTTGCTAGTGCAACGCGGACAGGCGCAGGAAGCGGGGTGAGAGCAGTACTTTCTCTAAAGAAGCAACGAGACGTGCCCGAGTCAAGGATAAAGGAGAGGGCCGCCGCAGGAGGGACAAGGGAGGAGCCTAGGGGACACGCAGTATTGGCTCCTACACTAGACACAGTGGTGGGACATAGACCCCTAAACCCCAAGGCCCCCAGTCCTCCAGAGAAACCACACTGGCCCCAGGGCAGTAATCGCCCTAGGGCCGCACCTCCAGAGCCTCCACCTCGCCCAGCATCCCCAAGAACCCACTGTGGCTGCCGTTGCTGCTGTTGCGGCTGCGGCTGCGACACTGGCCAGAGAGCCCGGAAGCAGATGCCGATGTCATGGAGCCATAAGCCAAGGAGGTAACTTATGTGATCCTCTAGGAGCGTGCATTCTAGGTGCGAGCTCACCAGCTGTAGACTGTGAGCGAGAAATGGGAGAGCGCCGGGAAGTGTTTAGTGGTCTGGCCGAGGGGCTGGCCCAAACAGGAGTAGGAAGTGAACGAGGAGGAAGTACGCACGAGAGGAGCTACTAGGAGCAGCACGCCGAGGAGTTAGGTAGGAGTCAGTAGGACTGGCGGCACAAGGTGAATAATAGTCCACAGGGCACAGAGGACTCACGAGGCTGGCGGCCGACTGGCGACTGGCGGCTGGCGGCCGGCTGCCGGTGGCGGCTGGTGGTCGGCGGCTGGCCGTGAGTGGTGGCAGCTGGCGTCTGATGGCTGGGGGTCGGCGGCTGATTGCCAGCGGTCGGCTGCTGGCAGCTATCGACTGCAGTGGTGACAGGAGTGGCAGCGGCGGCTGCAGCAGCAGCGGCGGCAGCAGCAGCTGCAAGGGCGGTGGAGGCAGTGGCAGCTGCACAGGCAGCGGCGGCAGTGGTGGCTGCAGCTGGCGGTTGCAGTGGCAGCAGAAGTGGCAGCATCGGCAGGGGCTGCAGCAGCTGCGGCAGTGGCAGTGGCGGCAGCGCAAGCAGCGGCAGGGGCAGCGGCAGCAGCGGCAGTGGCGGCAGCAGCTGCAGCAGTGGCAGCGGCGGCAGTGGCGGCTGCAAGGGCAGCGGCGGCAGTGACGGCCGCAAGGGCAGCGGCGGCAGTGGCGATTGTAAGGGCAGTGGCAGCAACGGCAGTGGCGGCAGCTGCAGTTTCAGCAGCGGCAGTGGCAGTAGCAGCTGCAGGAGTGGCAGCGGCGGCAGCGCAGCTGCAGCGGTAGAGGCGGCAGCAGCAGTGGCTGCAGAAGTTGTGGCAATGGCAGCTGTAGCGGTGGCAGTGGTTGTTGTAGCAGTAGTTGCGACAGCGGCAGTGGCACAGGCAGCAGCAATGGCGGCTGCAGTGGCAGCGGCTGTCCAATGACTAGCTGGCAGCAGTGGCTGGTGCATCAGCGAGCTGGGCAGTGACGAGCTGGCAGGCGCTGCTGGCGAGTAGCTGGCAGGCGCTGCTGGTGAGTAGCTGGCAGCAGGTGCTGGCGGCGAGCTGGCGGACGCTGCTGGCGGCTAGCTGGCTGGCGCTGCTAGCGGCGAGGTGGCTAGCACTGCTGGTGGTGCGCTGGCTAACGCGGCAGGCTAACTAGCTGGTTAACGTGCTGGCTAGCTGGCTGGCACATTGGCTGGTGCATTGGCTGGCATGCTGGCTAGCGTGCTGACTAGCACGCTGGTGGGCGTGCTGGCCGGTGCGTTGGCTGGCGTGTTGGCTAGCGTGCTGGCTAGCGTGCTGCTGGCGAGCGTGCTAGTCAGCGTGCGGGATAGCAGGCTCGCTGGCTCGCTGGCCTACTAGCTGCCATACGAAACAGCGCAAACTCTAGGGGGGAGGGCGTCAAGACTACAGAGCACGAAGTTGGAGGGCAGGGGGTGCGCGAAATTGAGAGTTGCACAAGCGCGGAAAAGAAGAAGAAGAAGAAGAAGAAGAAGAAGAAGAAGAAGAAGAAGAAGAAGAAGAAGAAGAAGAAGAAGAAGAAGAAGAAGAAGAAGAAGAAGAAGAAGAAGAAGAAGAAGAAGAAGAAGAAGAAGAAGAAGAAGAAGAAGAAGAAGAAGAAGAAGAAGAAGAAGAAGAAGAAGAAGAAGAAGAAGAAGAAGAAGAAGAAGAAGAAGAAGAAGAAGAAGAAGAAGGAGAAGAAGAAGAAGAAAAGAAAAGAAAGAAGGAAAGAAAAAGAAAGAAAGAAATAAGGAAAGAAAAAGAAAGAAAGAAATAAGGAAAGAAAAAGAAAGAAAGAAAGAAAAACACGCTACAGTAACGGCAGAAGCGTGAGTAATGGCAGAAGCGTAAGGAACGGCGGGGGAAAAAAAAAAAAAAAAAAAAAAAAAATCTAACCTAGCTCAATACTAGAGTAGCAGGAAAAGTGTGGCTAAGAGAAAATATCAAGGGATACAAAAATTGGGTGGCTCGCACCTCCATGGTCCACGTCGGCGCACCCCATTTTCATGGCCGTTCGATGTGCGCTACGCTGCTCGCCAGCTTAACCTGTGGCCGCGCTCCAAGCGGCCACAGATTTCGCCGACCCTCTTCTGGACCCAATCTCCTGGTGACGTGTCTGCGTTCCACGTCTGGGGCAGCCTTGCTCATTTCCGCGACACTGGCACGGACAAGCTTTCAGCCCACACCCTTCCTTGTGTCTTCCTGGGGTTTCCACTTGACGTCTCTGAGTGGCTGTTCTATCACCCGTCACACCACCGCATTTACCACTCTCATGACGTTACCTTCGACGAGACACCCCCCTACTACTGGCGCTTCCCGCACCGCAGCGCTCCTGTGCCTCCTCCTCCTCTCTTCCTTGTCCCTTCCCTGCCTGCCGCACCCCTCCCGCCCTGCCCGACCCAGTATGGTGTCTCCCATGCCACTCAGTTCCCCTCGGTTGTGCCTGTGGGGGAGTCGGCTAACTCTAGGGGCGCGTCTGCTGTCCCTGCGGCGCCTCCCCCAGCCTTGGTACCCCAGTCTCCTCAACAACCTCCACCCTTGCCTCAGCAGCAGCAGCAGCCGCCATAGTTGACTCATCGGTCGCAGCAGCAGTAGCAGCAGCAACATCAGGGAGTAGTGGGCTCTGAGGGTGCTGGTTCTAGGGTTGTTGGTATTGGACGTGTTGGTGTTGGGGGTGTTGGTTCTGGGGTTGCGAGTTCTGGGGGTGCTGACTCTGTAGGTGCTGGTTCTGGGGGTGTAAGTTTTGAGGGTGCTGACTACGGGGGTGCTGGTTTTGTGGGTGGTGCGTCCGAGCGTGCTAGACTTCACGGTGTTATTGTGGGGAGTGACGGTAGCAGCCGCGATGCTGCTGGAGCTACTGGAGAGGACAAGAAGCAGTTGCAGCCACAGCAGCAAGTGCAGCCGCTGCAGCAGGAGCAGCCGCAGTCTTCCCTTCGTCTCCTTGGTCTTGCTCCACGTTCCCATGTCCTCCCGCCTGTTCCTCCTCCGGTACGTGACCCTGTTTACAGCCCATTGTTCCCTTCTCCGGACTCCTCTCTAGCTCGTTTTCCCCCGCGCTCCCCTCCGTCCCCTAACTTGTCCCCTGTTCCCTGTCGTCCCAAGTCCCCAGTTCTTCCCTACTGGGTCCGTTGCCCCTCTGGTGCTCGTCCTGTTTCTCCACGTCCTAGTGTCCACCATATGGTCCTTCGTTCGCGTGCTCCTCCAGTCACATTCCTTTAGTTGCATCCCCCATCGTCGCTCCCGTTGTCCCCCCCTCCTCGCTCCGACGCTGCTCGCACTGCTCGTCCATTCCTCTCACGTCTGCTTGCGTCGGTTGTCACTGAACCTACTGCACTTCCTGAGTCTGTCTCTGCGCTTGTCGCTGCTGTCACTTACTTTGCTGCTAGCCAACGCCTTGACTACGATGTCGCCTTATGGTACTGCCCGTCCTTCGTCCATCAGGGATGCATCTGCCCTTGGCAGTGACGTGCTAGAGGATAGGCAGGACGAGTTGGCCTACCTTGCTGTCGATGTTTCCCATCTCTGCTCCATGCTTGTATCCCCAAAGGGCGACCCAGACGCTCTCGACATCCCTGTTCCACGCTCTTACGCTGAGGCGGTGTCGCGGCCCTGGGCAGCCCTGTGAATACAGGCCATAGAGGCTGAGATAGCATCCTACAGATCCACAGGCACTCACGTTGACGCAGTTCTCCCGCCTGGGGCGAACGTAATCGATGGCATGTGGATCTACAGGATGAAGCGCGCACCTGGAGAGCCGTCGAAGTTCAAGACGCGTTACGTGGCTAGAGGCTCAACCAACGTTAGGGTGTGGACTTCTTCCAGACCTTCTGCCCGACCCCGAAAATGACTATACTTCGGATCCTTCTTCACAAGCGTGACTATGAGCTTCACTCACTCGGCTTCTTCACAGCGATCCTGCAGGGTAGTCTGCACGAGCAGATCTACCTCCAGCGCCCTCTAGGCTTCTCTGGGTCCTTCCCACTTGGGACCCAGTGGAGCCTGCGCCGTCCTGTCTACGGCCTTCGTCAGGCACCCCGTGAGTGGCACGACACACTTCGCACCACTCTTGTCGAGTTGTAGTTCTTTCCGTCCTCTGCTGATCCCTCTCTCTTTGTTCGCACAGGTCAGACACCGTTCTACATTCTAATGTACATAAACGATCTTATCTTTGCTACTCCTAACAGAGTCGCACTGGCCTCAGTGAACGCCGAGTTACTTAGGAGACATACCTGTACAAATCTGGGGGTGCTGAGGCGCTTTCTGGTCTTGGAGATCTCTCGTGACTGTGCCGCTCACACGATCACACTCCCCCAGTCCCAAATGGTGCAGCAGATCCTCTAGAGGTTCAATCTCCAATTCTCCTCAGCACAGCCCACCCCTCTGCCTGTGGATCACACGCTATTTGCTCCTGTTCCGGCTGAGCCGGTCGAGGCTAGTGGTCCATACGTAGAGCTGGTGGGGTGCCTCATGTACCTGATGATCTGCACTCGACTAGATCTAACGTACCTCTCAGTTTCCTTGCTCTCTTTGTCGCGACAGGCAGGCACCGACCAATTCACTGATCGGATGCCAGGAGGGTACTACGGTATCTGGCGAGTATATCACGACTTCGGCTTGTGCTTAGAGGACGGGAGCCGATGGTGCTCACTGGACACACAGACGCGTTGTGGGCTGACGACGTGGAGACGCTCAGCTCGTCTCAGGGCTACTATTTTAGTCGTGGTGCTGGTGCAGTCTCGTGGAGGTCCACTAGGTCGTCGTCTGTAGCTCAGTCCACTTGTAAGGCAGAGATCTATGCTAGGGTCATGGCCGCTCAGGAGCTCCGCTGGCTGACGTTCTTGCTCACCGAGTCTTAGCGAGTACAGCCCTAGTTTTGTATCCCTCGACATTTTCTCTTAAACACATTTTCCCGCTACTATACCATTGTAGACCTTCAGATGTTGAAACCACTAGCAGGTCATATCGAACTCATGCGTAAGGACCAGACAGTGAAGAGAAAGTGGGACCATTGCGCAAGAGATGACTATTGCCACATGTCATCTAATGTCTCCACTGGCTCAAATGGCCTGGAATCTTCGGGCTTGCATTGGACTCAGATGCGCGGCCAGTGAGGGGCTAAATCGTGCCTGAACTGGGCGCTTTGGGTTGAGCTTGGGGGAAAATGGAATCGAATTTTTGAGAAATTCAGAAGCCATTATAACATGTTATGCAGAACATTAAGATGATTTACCTTGAAATGCCACCTCATTGCCCCTATTTGGAAAATGAGTTAATTCTTGTGTATAAGAAGCCTGTATGTAGGCAGGAGATTATCCGTACGGTGTGCGAGAAATGGTTTTTGTCACCAAGCCTCGTTGATGCGGGAAGAATGGGTAGCTTCTGCGATGATTCGCAGAAGTACGTTTCGATGTTTCTGCTGGGACTGTGCAGGGCAGGGGTGCATCCATTTCGCAGCAAAGATCGTGCATGCACTCGTTCAGATGGTTTTCAAGCCGAAATCTCGCTATATGGACCAATAGCAGCCCCTGAAACCACTCCAGCCAGGAGGAGGTGGTTACCACAAGAGCTCCACGCGCTCGACAACGCGCACCGACACAGGGAACCACACCTATCTCGGTCTAGAAATTTACAAGATGCAACGCGACACGGTTCTGGATAACTACACCTCTCTCCCCCGGTTTCAAGCTGCCCTTGATATCAGCTCCGAAGGAGAAGCTAAACGCGAGGGTCAGGACTGCTTATAGGCTCTGGAGAGATGGACATGTGGGGTTGGGAGGGAATCTTGAGAGCAATCAGGGAGCCAATAAAAGCAGGTACTGTACATCTTTTGATACAGTTTTTTTCCAGTCCTCGTATGTGCTGAGGTTTTTTTTTTTTTTTTTTTTTTTTTTTTTTTTAACCATGGCGCCTCTTGAGGGAATGCCCCCCTCACGAGCCGCTTCTCTGCGCGACGCTTCCTTTGCCCGCCCCCCTCCCCTCACCCCGCCCTGGCGGATATGTTCGCGGCACGTGGGCTCCACGCCACCACCACCCGTTTCGGAGGCTTGGTGCGCCTCTCCGCTCCGCTCGCCCCGCTGATGAGCAGCACCACACCACACACGGGCGCGCACAGGGCCGCCATCAGGCGCAACCGCATTGTCGCACTTTGCCCGAGAGGTGATGGGAAAAGCTGCCAGGCGTGCGGGGCGAGTCCGCGCATTCAGATACTGTACTGTATGGGGGGACAGGAGCAGTTCCCCTCATCGTACGCGGAAGGGAGGGGGTCAACCCTGAGCGGAAGACACCTGCGCGAAACGCAGAACGCACCGCGCGACATTTGACCAGGGCTCGGTTTCGGTTTTGCGGGATGGAGTGCGGCAAGTGAGGAGAATCCAATTTCCTCACCTCACCCTTGGTCGACTCGACAAGTCTCAGTCCCAGGAATCCCTGTCCGCTAGTGCTGCAGCTCTCCTGTTCCCTTGGCTCCCTCTCGGCCGTCCCTGCCATGTGTGTCCGCCCTTCCAGCTTTCCGCACAAGCTTGCCATTTCACCCCGTGTCTCTCGCGTTCCTCTTTTTTGATTCAGCTTGACTGCCCCCGCCGACGCACCATGTTCTGCGCATTCGCAGCAGCACAGCAGCGAGATCCAGCGCACGGGACACAAGGCGTGCAAATGCCGCCATTTGATAGAGCCAAGGATCCAAAACGGGCCACTCGTACGCCCACGTAAGGATGCAAGCGTTTCTAGACCGCAATAGACTCTCTCAGACCCCGCAACCTCCGGACTTCACTTGCTGCACTTCACTCCTCTTTCACTCCCTCTTTCCGAGACAAAGTCCACGGAGTGTCGCGAGCACCGAGTTCCACTCCCCGTCCCACGACAACGCCTCTTTGACGCGCGAACAGCGCGGAGCGCCGTGCTGCTATCGCCGCCCCTTTTGACCGCCGCGCGCTGCAGCAGCGAATCCGGCGGATCCGGCAGATCTTCGTCTGCCCGGAACGGCGGAACGGCGGAAGGGGGGGAAGGGATCACTAGACTCCCGCATCCGTGCCGTGCCGCCCTGCCATGTTGCTGACCCTATCCGCGCCGTCCATTCTCCCGGATTCGCTCTCCTCGCGCTCCACGGCGCGTCGCTCCTTTCCGCCGTTTCACATCGCGTCGCTCCGAGGGATAGCGCCCCTCGGCAACGAGGGGTCCTCCGCGGCGGCGAGCGCCCCCCCCGCATGCGCCATGACCGCTGCGCCCATCGCGGACGATCTCCGCGCACTGGACGCTGGCGCACACCCGCCGCTCCTGCAAGTCTCCGCTGGGAAGGGCTCCGCCGAGTTGGCGGAGCGCAAGGATGGCGCGCAGCAGCCCCGCGGGGAATGCTCGCAGGCGGGGAAGCGGAAGCTGAGCGCCAGCGGTGATGCCGAATTCCGCGCTGTGATTCACGACGATGCGGCGGCGGCGGCGCCCGAGGGATCAGAGAGCAACGCCGACTCGACAAGATCGGCGGAAACTGCCGCGAAGAAACCGCGCGGGAGCTCGGATGACGGCGAGAATGTTCGCGGATCACCGTCCGCCGCGCCTCCCCCAGCCACTGCGGCCGAGCAAAGATCCTCTCATCTCGCGGGGGCGTCGCCCTTCGACAATCATGCCGCCGGCCGCATCCCCGCTGACGCAGCCGCCGGGTCGGGGGAGAGCGGAGGCGCGGAGTCGGAGGAGGGAGAGGAGGCGGAGGGGGAAGAGGGCGAGGGGGGGGGGAGGAGGCGGTGGGCGGGGTGACGGCGGCGGACGGCGGCGCGTGCGGCAAGAAGAAGCGGTACCGCTACAAGCGGCTGTCGAAGGCGGGGTACATCCCGGACGACGGGCAGCACTGGCACAAGTACGGGCAGAAGAACCTCGTCGACGCCGGCTACTGCAGGTGAGCTCCCGCTCGGCGCGTGGATGAGCTGATGTGGTGGGATGTGCGAGTATGTGGCATGTATAGTGTGTTGGGACGGAGCAACGCGAGTAAGTTCCTATAAGCTGCACCATCCACACCCGTTCCTTGCTGCCCTTCGCCTCTCTTACCCTCTGCTTTCCTCTCCACCCTTCGTTCTGCCCATGCGCAGGGCGTACTACCGGTGCGCGCGCAAGAGCGCGGGGTGCGCGGCGAAGAAGACGATCGACTTCCCCATCCGATGGGGGCTGGACATGCGCGTCACGTACAGCGGCTCGCACGCGCACGGCCTGCCGCCCAGGCTGCAGCGCGAGGTCTTCACCTACGCCACCACGCCCGCCCAGCTGCCGCCCAACATCTCCGTGCCGCCCAACGTGCTCGCTGCTGCGGCAGCCAACGCTGCGACAACCGCTACTGCTGCCGCCAGTGCTGCTGCCGGCGCTGCTACCTCTGCTGCTGTGTCTGCTGATTCCAATGCTGCCACCGCTGGCCCTTCCCCCACCTCTCGCCCGCTCTCCGCTCCCCCCACCCCCACTGCTGCTGCGCCGCTGCTTCCTGCTGCGCCCACTCACCCTGCCGCATCTGCCTCCCCCGCTCTCGCCTCACCTGTGATCAGCGCCGCTGGTAACCAGGCCCATGTGCCTGGTAACCATGTAACAGGCAACACGGTGCATGTGTGCAGCCCTGCTCACCACGTTCCGTCACAGCCGCCCCAGCCGCCGCCTCTCTTCCTATCGCCGCAGCAACCGCAGCCGCAGCAACATGAGCAGCAGCGACACCAGCAGCAGCAGCAGCTGCAAGCAGCACAACCGTACCGTTTCAGCCCCATACGCCAACCACCCATGCCACCCAACCCAAGCCTCACCTCCCCTGGTCCCCCCCCCCCCCCCTGCGCTCCTCCTCCTCCTCCCCTGCCCTCTTGACTCTGCCCCCGGTCCTCCGCCCCTCTCCCGCCCGGACCTCAGCCGTGCCGGGACAGCTCCCCCACGCCGCCACTGCTGCTGCTGCTGGCGCTGCTCATGCTGCGGTGCATCAGGCACCGCCACAGCAACACTTGCAGCAGCAGCAACAGCAGCAACAACAGTTCCAGCAGCAGCAGCAGTGGCAGCAACAACCACAACAGCAATGGCAGCAACAACCACAACAGCAATGGCAGCAGCAGCAGCAACAACAACAGCAATGGCAGCAGCAGCAGCAACAACAGCAATGGCAGCAGCAGCAGCAGCAGCAACAGCAATGGCGGCAGCAGGAGCAGCAAATTCACGTGCAACATCAGCAGGAGCAGGAGCAGCAGCAGCTCACCGCCTCACCTGCGCCTGTGTCTTCACTGCCCCCCCCAGGCAACTTCATGCTGCCGCCGCCCGTCTTTGCTGCCGGCAGCCCTGGCACCAACCCGGCTCCTTCCAGTGCAGTCGCCGCTTCCACCTTTCGACCCGTCACCGCCTCTCCCTCCTTCCACCAATGGACGCCCACTGCTGCCGCTGCCACTGCTGCCGCTGCCGCTGCTGCTGCTGCTGCCGCACCCCCTTCCATGCAACCCTCCTCATGCGGATGTGGCCAACCGGCTCACCATCCGCCATCACAGCCCATGCCCATCAACGCCCACCGCACGGCCTTGCCGCCCCAAAACGCACAGACCGCGCCCCAATACATGCCGATGCCGCCCCAGCCCGTGCAGATGCCGCCCCAAAACACCCCGATGCCATCTCAACCCTCACCCGTGCCTCCCAGCTGCACCTGCCCCCACCACCACCAGCACCACCAGCACCAGCACCACGACCAGCACCAGCAGCCGTGCTCCCATCCCCCCTCCGCCTTCGCCCCTCCGCCCTCACCTGCTCCCCCCAGACCTGTTGCTGGTGTGCTGCATGCGCCTTGTGGTGGCAATGCGTGCTGCAGTGGCGGCAGCGGCACAGTGGAACAGCAGTACCAGCACGGCACGGCGACTCAGCAGGGGATGGTGAGTGCAGGAGGGCAGCAATCCCTCCCATCACCCTCTCCCCTTCTCCGCTTACCCCTCTCCGTGCCGCCCCCCCCTCACGGCAGCAGCCCCGCCTGCTCCTTCTCCACGCCCCCGTGCGCCTCCTCCTCCACCTCGTCCACCCCCACTCTCTCCCTCTCCCCCCCGTGCGCCCCTCCCCCGCACCTCTTGCTCTGCGTGGGCGTCTCCCCCTCCCCCGTGCAGTCCAAGCGCCCCCTCATGCTGCACGCATCCCCGCAGCAGCAGCAGCAGCAGCAGCAGCTGCAGCCGCTGCAGCAGCAGCAGCAGCAGCAGGCGGCGCCACCACACATGCAGCCCCTGCCGCTGCCGCAGCAAGCAGCTCCCCTGCAGCAGCACACGTGGCAGGGCAGCTCCCCTGCCCTGCTGCCTGCAGCAACGGCAGCACAGCCGGCAGGTGGGGTGTGGTCGGGGCAGCAGCCGTGCATGCAGCAGCAGCCTGCGCCACAATGCCCCCAACACTCCGCACTGGGTTGCCAATACCAGCACCAGCACCAGCAGCAACAGCAGCACTACCAGCAGCAACAGCAGCAGCAGCAAGGGCTCCTCTCAGCTCCACGCTATTTTGCTTCCCCTGCTGCTGCCGCTCCCACCCCTCCTGTGCAGACCGCACCGCACATGGTAACCGTGGTTACCAATCAGCAGGTGGTTACCACAGCACCCGGAGCAGGAGTAGCAAGGAGCCCCCAGGTGCACCCCAGTGCTGTGGGTGGGGGTAGGGGCGGGGGGGCGCCAGCACAGGCGGAGGGGCAGGCAGGAGCGGCGGCGGAGGGGGTGCGGCTGCTGGGGCAGTTCATCCCGTCCCCCTCGCCCTCCCCGGGGGATTCGCCCCCCAGCAGCCCGGGCAGGGGGGAACCGTCCCCCGCATGTGTGGGCGACCAGAGGGGCGACCAGAGGGGTGTGGCCAATGCACGGGTGAGGGAGTGTGGGGGGGGCGTGGTGCAGCAGTTGACCCCGCAGTTCGACGCTCAGTGTGGGGGGAAGGGGGGTGATGCGCTGGCAGGCCAGGCGGGTGTGGGGGGAGCCCGAGATGGTGCCTCACGGCGCAAGGAGGTGGATCTGAACCTCTCTCTGTAGATAGTGGCGCCATTCTGTGACTTGTAACATTCTTTTGGTGTATGGCACGATTGGTTTGACAATGTGAGATCATACCAGGAGGTCCCAATCATGGAAACCACTGGTAGTTTGTATAGGAAGAGAAGAGAAGCTATAGAAATCACCCAACAGCTGAGAAGTACCATGGCACTGAATAAAGAATTTGCATTGCAGTAATAGTGAAGAGCATGGGCTGGCCCCCACAATAAGTTACAGATGCAGCTACACATTCACCCCCTCACAACCTTACACTTCAGGCCCCTCCCCCTGCCTCCCCCTGCTCCCCCCCGCTCCCCCCCGCTCCCCCCCGCTCCCCCCCGCTCCCCCCGCTCCCCCCGCTCCCCCCGCTCCCCCCCACTCCCCCCCGCTCCCCCCCGCTCCCCCCGCTGCTCTCCTCGCCGTCCTCCTCCGCGCTGCTGCCGCTGCCCTCCACCTCCGACTGCCCCTGCGGCGTTTCCAGCACGGATGCGGGGGTCTCCCCCGTGCACTCCGATGCTGCAGCCCCCGCCGCCACCCCGCCCGCACACTCCTGCAGCTGCCGCACCCACAGGGGGAACTCCACGCTCGCTGCAACCGCCACTGCTGCCGCTGTTGTTGTTACCCCCCCTGACTGTGGCGCTGCTGCAGCAGCTGCTGCTGCCACCGGCGCTGCCGCACCAGCAGCACCGGGATCCCTGCTCTGCCGAACCTGATGAGGCGCGGCCAGCGCTGGGTTGGGGCGGTACGGTGGCAGGGATGCCTGGAGCTGTCGAGAGGGGTTGGCGGGGTGGGAGTGGCGGGGGAGGGCGGAAAAGAGGAGCGGAAAGGGGAGCGCGGAGCAGGGCCTGCTGGGGAATGCAGGCGGCGCAATGGGCTGGGCTGCGGGTGCAGGAGGAGCGGCAGCAGCAGCAGCAAGTGAGGACACAGGGGGTCTTCCCAAGCGACTGGGGTGGTGCTGGTGCAGCTGGGGGCGGGTGGCAGCACCATCAGCACCATCAGCGCCATCAGCTGCAGTCTGTGCGCCATTTGACTCCCGGTTGACCCCTGCTCCCTCTCCATGCCCCTTCTGCTCCTTGTCCAAGCCCGAACCACGCCAACAGCTCCGGTACTCTCCAATCCTGTTACCCCGCGCCTCCCCATCTCCCCCCCCCTCCTCCGCACACTGCGCTGACTCCACCTCATACTCCCCCCCTCGGCCCCCCCGCGCGCTGCGTCCGCCGTTTCTCCCCGTGGAGCTTCCGCCGATGCGCATCGTCGCAACGCTGGAGGCCCGCTGCGCCGCGTGATGCGGCGCCACCGCCTGCGAGGCCACCCCGGGGAACGGACCCGCGCGACCTCCAACGGCTAGTTGCGCGGCGTCGTGTGCGGCGCGGGTTGCTCCAGCCGCGGAGTCAGCCGCGGCGCGACAGTCCTCCGCCTCCCCAGAGGCGCCATTCTCTCGCTCCTGGAGGCCTCTCTTCTCGCTCGACTGGTCGCCGCTGCTGCTGGCGCTCGAGCCACCTCGCATCTTCGGCAGGCGGTGCTTGAAGCCTCCTTGGCGGACTACGAATTTCCGTTTCTGCCCGCGGGCAGCCGCGAAACCAGGGCTCTCCAACATCTGGCGCATCCCGCTCAAAATGCCCAGCCGCTGCTTCCGCCGCCTCTCCCCCTCCGCTTCCGCCTCCAGTTTCCCCCAGTCCTGCGCTCCGCCAGCCTCGCCAGCTTCCCCGTAGATTTCCGCAGCTTCCCCGCACGCCCGCGCATCCATCCGCTGGCGCTTGGCTGCGCGGAGCCGCTCCTGCCACGTCCAGGGCCAGGCGGAGTGTGCTTCTATCGGAGGCGGAAGGGCCGTACTACTATCCCTCGCTACTGGCACCAGCTGCAGCTGCGACGCAGGCAACCCCGAACCGAGAGCCCTCGCGCTTTCCCCCTCCGCGCAAGTCCCCCCGCCTCCCCGAGCGGACGAGTTTTCCGCCAGCGGTTCACGGTAAGCGACGTCCGCGCGTCTCTGGCACCGCGACGGCTGGAATGGGCCGAAGGAAAACACTGGGGCGACAGGCTCGGGCCGAACCGACGGCACCGGGCTGGAAGAGCCAACTCCGGGAGAATTCGCGAGAGAGACAAGCGGAAGACTCCCCGGATGCTGGTGGGTGGGCGGGATAGAGAGCGGGGAGAACAACTCGCGGGGCCGCTGTGAACTCCCGGAGGGGCAACGCGGGTCGGCGGACGGACAGGAAAAGGGGGATGGAAGGGGAAGGGGAAGGGGGAGGTCTGTATCCCGCGGATTTGGTGCAGTGGGAGCGGTAATGCCGGGAGGGCGCGTGGGCCCCAGCTGAAGGACTTTCCAGGTGTCGCTGAAGCTCTTGGACTTGGTGCGATGCCGCGACAGGTTTATCCACGCCATGGCCTCGCGCTTGACTCTAGGAGCTACCAATGTGTTACAAGGATTAAAGGCTAGATTGAAAAGACAATGAGAAGGTGTGTCGATGGCTTGGCGAATGACCAGGGTGCGTTATACTCTCCGAGAATCTTTGGCTCAGTGAACGAAGGCTTACGAGGGGATGGGTACTCTAAGCGGGAGGTACGTAGATTGACAGCAAACCAAAGTAAGGATGCACGATCTGCGCTCACCAGCACAGCCTTCAACTTTCAAGAGCAGAACGATGAGGAAACACTGATGGAGCATACGGGATGGGCTGTGCTGCGCCAGAAAGATTTCTCTGCTCGTGACAGAAAGACCACACAGCTCCTCCAAAATTTAGTCGGTGTAGGGTATTTTCTTCCAAAATATCCATAATATTCAACTCCTTTACACTGAAGGGGAGGATGCAGTTCCGGAAATCAGCGTTCACAATAACATACTGGTAATTGTTTCGACCTTAGTTCCGCGCTGTCAATGAACTTCCACTGCCGGGCAGAGTTCATGCACCTGTTAAAAAACAACTGTTCACACATTGCTGCATGGTCACAGGCGGAATCGTCTGCTTCGTTCGGGTCGGGAGGGAATCGAGGAAATAACTTCGGGTGTGACGATGCACGATTGGTACACATGAAACCCTTTTCAAAGTCAGTTGTTGTTTCAGTTGGTTTCTGTAGAATCGAGCACTTCACTTTCACAAGCGACTTGGGACAATACAGGGTAGTCTGGTTACCTCGTTGGCATTTTCCAGCCTAAAGCGGGTGACCATTAATGTTTGTTTTGCGTTCCTCGGGCAACAGTATAGCGTACGAGAACGTCCCATCTGCACATTTGGAGGTCGCCGTATCAGATGTGGTAACTGGTGCAGATCTTTAGGCTTGTGTCGAATGGGTCGTTTCCCGTGCGCTAAGATCAAAGAAACTATAAATAAACAATGACAATTAACGAGTAAACAATTGACTGCACTTGAGGTGTATGTGGATAGATTGGGGACGGTTGCAATGATTCCATCACAACCGCTTCGGCCCGCTAGTCCACTCGCTGTTCGCCTAAAGCCGTTGGAGTGCCAGCAGACAGAAGATCTTATGACGTGACAGGTTCGGCAGGTGTCCACGTGGACGGTCGCATGAAGCCCACGGTGTGCCAGCGAAGGAAAGCTGGATCCGACGGATGCTATTGTTACTGTACTGTATCTGTTTTCAACCAGAAAGGCAATCTGTGGTTGCCATACCCACGGGGAAAATATCAGAAGCCATAGCTTCTAGATGGCGAGCTTGGTGCACTCGTTGCGACACTGCAGCAGGGGTCGTTCCAGAGGGTACACTACACATGCTGTCCACCGTAAACTTTGCCCGTAGCTAATCGCGATCGGTTTAGACTGCCTATTTGCCCTGTTTTACAGGCACTATCCGTTTTGTCAGAGTCCCAAAAATAGCCACGTGGAACGATTTTATTGAGCGAGGAAAGAGGCGACCGTACAGATGCATGTGCTTATTGACTAGAATTCTGACTTTTGAAATATAACTTGTTACAAAATGCCCATTTGCGACCCAATTGCCCGTGGCGAAGCATGCGAAACGGAGAACTCGATAGTGGCTCTCGTGACTAGGCAAAGTGGTGGGCGTACGGTGGACATCATTTGTAATCACCATAAACCCGCCATTGTAGGGTAAACTTGACCGTGAATTAGCAAAACGATTACAAAACGTGTGGTCACGCAGGTAATCCCGGAAGGAAAACAAGGGAAAAGAGAAATGACGAAACTAAAGCAAAAAAACCACACCACATGCCACGCAAAGAAATAAACACGCCAGGAGAAGGCGCAGGGAAAGCGCCGAACACGAGAGCCGAATAAGCAAAACAGCATAGACCCGCAAGTACACTAGGTAGGGTGCATCCATCCACGGGGCCCCCCACCCGTCCTCCCGCTCGCCATCCCCCTGCTCCTCCCCCACAATGTCAGGCCCCCCACCCGTCCTCCCTCTCGCCATCCCCCTGCTCCGGCCCCATAATGTCAAGCCAAACAGGCGACGCATGTAGACCTGCTCGTACAGACTGCCCTGAAGAAACGTTGTCGAGAAGTCGAGAGAGTGCAGCTCGTAGTCACGCTGTGCTGCTACTCGTAACAACGCCCGAAGAGTAGTCATATTCGGGATCGAGACGAAGGTCTAAAAGAAGTCAACAACCTCGCGCTGACTGAAGCCTCTAGCAACGTAGCGCGCCTTGAACACCAGCGACTCTCCAGGAGGGTGCTTCACTTTGAAGAGTCACCGGCCATCCACTACGTTCACCCCAGGTAGCGGAACTGCGTCGATGTAGGTGCCGGTGGGTCTCCAGGATGCCATATCTGCGTCCATGGAAGCTATCCACTGGGAGGCCCAGAGTCCTAAGTCGCCTTCGCGTAAGTGCGAAGGGTCGGGATCTCAAAGGCGTCTGGGTCAACCTGAGGGACTAGCAGCATGGAGCAGAGATGAGGCGCGACTTTGAACAGGAAAGGAAACCCGTACTATCGGTCCTCCAGGATGTCACTGCCAAGGGTAGGAGCACCCCCGACGGACGGAGGATGGGAAGGGTCAGAGACCAGAGCGGTGGCGTAGTCAAGGCGGCGAGTACAGGCGAAGTCAGCAATGGCAGCGACAAGCGCGTCAAGACTCAAGACAGGAACAGTCGGGTCGTTAATATGGGAAGCAAGGATCCGATGAACAAGAGGACTAGCGGCATGAAGGAAGTCAGACAGAGGAGGTGGACCGACAACAAGCGACGACGGAGGAGGCGATGGGAGGAGGGGAGGACGAGATGCGTGGGAACGCAACAATTTAGGTTGAGAGCGCTGACCAGGAGAGACATGACGAGCATGGGAGGGACGGCGAGACCAGGCGTGAGACGGAGGCGTCGAGTCAGGAGACAGAGGAGGAGACACAAGAGGGGAACGAGGAGGAAAATGATACGGAGACGAGTCCGGCGGAGGAAACGCAGGGCCATAGACTTGTAAGGGAGGCGGCGGCGGGTGAGGCGCAGGCGGGCGGGTAGGGGAGGCGACGGTGGCAACTGCTGCGGCTGCGGCGGCGGAGGAGGAGACACTAGGGCAGAGACAGGAAGCGAAACCGAAGCTGCGCGGCTCCCAGAATCAGCCGACTCCTCTACCGGGACCACCGACGGAGGGGAGTGACGCGAGACACACCAAACAGGGCAAGACGGGGAGGGAGAAGAGCAGGGGCTACTAGGGGAGTGGGAACAAGAAACAGGGGCAGGGAAACCGGAAGACCTCAGTGAGAAAAGCGGTGGTAGAAAGAGACCGACTCGTAAAAAGTGACGGCACGCGAGTGAAAGAAGCGATGACAAGGCGGGTGGTAAAATTGCAAATCAAACCCGTCAAGTGGGAAACCAAGGAAGACACAGGGGACAGTGCGGGCAGTGAGCGTGTCCATGTCAAAGGCACGAACGTGAGCGAGGTAGCCCCATACGTGGAACGCAAACGCGCCACCAAGGAACCCGGTCCAGGGAAGGGTCGGCGAAACCTACGGCGGTTGGTAGGTCGGTCCCTATCATTCAGGGTTGTTCTCCCTCTAAGTGCTCTTTCTCGGACGTCTATGCTGCTTTTGCTGAGACCACCGCTGCGGCCTCAGCGCAGCCGCATCCGGGTAAGGGCCGCCGCCCTAAGGGGGGCGTGGCGGAGGGAAGGAATGTGGGGATGGGAAGGGTGGAGGAGGTGGGGGTGGGGACGGTGGTTCGGATGAGGGGACAGGGGCTGGCGCCGCGGAGTAGCAGCAGCAGCAGACGCAGCCTCAGCAGCAGACTCAGCAGCAGCAGCCGCAGCAGCAGTCGCTGCAGTAGGAGTAGTCGCTGTGGGGACCCCTGCCGCCGTGGTGGAATGGCGGCGCTGGTGGTGGCAAGCGCTACTTTCTAGTGCTTGGCAACGAATACACGTGCTACACCACGGTGTTTCCCCTGGAGCGGAAGGCCGACGTGCCTGACGTTCTTATCTCGTGGATTGTAGCTACGCGAGTCCACCACGGCTGCCTAGTGGTTCGTCTCCACTCCAACCGTGACAGCGAGTTTGCCTCCGGTCGGCTTGGCCAGTTCTGTCGTGCGGAGGGCATTACCCAGTCGTACACCGTGCCTAACTCCCCACAGCATAATGGGTCGCTGAGCATCGCATCGATTCGGTCATGGAGGTGGCTCGTATCTCGCTAGACTAGGCGATAGTGCGCTGGCGGGTTTCTATCGCAGCCAGGGCTGTGACAAAGGCGGGGAGGGTGAGGTCACCCGGGTGCTGACTAAGGAAGTGGTTGCGGGCTGTGGCTAGGTGGTCGGGGAGGCGCGTGGCAATGAGATAAAGGGTATTGCAGAGCGGCAGCGGAAAGGCAATGAGCTGAGCCTCAGTGCTAGCAGCACGGTAGCTAGTCTCTAGTGCGCGGAGGTGAGTGGCAAGATCGGCGGTAGTGGGGAAGGACGCAAGATCAGGGAAGAGCATGGGGAGGATCAGGCGGCCAGCAGAGGTGGAGGCGGGGGTGGAATAGCGCGCAATGACTGCATCTAAGAATTCATAGGCGTTCGCTTTAGTGGTAAAGCATGGACGCTCAGACAGAGGGAGCCCGCGACTAATAACAAGTTGCGCGACGGCGTCGCGCGAGTCCCATACAGCACGAGCAAGCGCGGCAGCTGAAAAGGCCTCACGCTCAGCAGTGGTGGGGGCATCAGAGAGGGCAATAGGCGTAGCGGGGCCGGGAAACAGGCCATCGACATGAGCAGGCAGGGAGTGACCATCATGGCGCTGACCTGTCAGGTGACCGCGGAGGTCGATGAGCCACGCCTTGAAATCTATCGCCCGACCCTCCGCATCCAGGCGGAGCAGTGAGTCCGCCATCACCACGGCTGCAGCAGCTGACTGCCGCTGACAGGGAGAGGACAAAAGGCGAAGGAAGGTGGAGGATAGTGGTGGAAAGCAGTGGAGAGTGGTGGAGAGCGGTGGAGTGCGATGGAGTGCGATGGAGTGCGGTGGAGTGCGGTGGAGAGTGGTGGAGGGTGGTGGAGTACGGTGGAGTGCGGTGGAGAGCAGTGGAGAGCGGTGGAGATAGCCGGCAGATGTGCCGGCTCAGAAGGGAGCCAAGGCCGGTAGGTCGGGGGCGGTAGAGCGTAGGGCCAACGAGCGTGGGGCCGGCAATCACGGGGCCAGCGGGGTGCACAGGGCTAGCGGGGCGCACGGGGCTAGCAGGGCGCACGGGGCTAGCGGGGTGCAAACGGGGCCAGCGGGGCGTACGGGGCCAGCGGGGCGCACGGGGCTATTGGGGCACGCTTGGGCTAGCGGGGCGCGGACGGGGCCAGCGGGGCGCACAGGGCCTGTGACGCGACAGGGGCCAAGGGGGCGAACGGGGCCAGCAGGGCGTACGGGGCTGGCGGGGCGCACGGGGCTAGCGGGGCTCGACAGGGCCAGCCAGGCGCCAAGGGGCCAATGTGGCGCTAATGGGGCCAGTGAGGCGCTGAGGGGCGGCTAGGACTAGGCCTAAGGTGGAAGCGTGAGTGGACCTAACCTAGCTAGATACCATACCAAACGGAGAAATGAATGACTAGAATGAGAGATACAAGGTGCTTTTGTGCTAAGGGGTTGTACTCGCTAGGAGTACGCACGTATCTAGCCTCTTAGACAGTATATATATGTTTCGACACCTGGTACTGGACTTGGTAAATCTTGTCAATCACGGTGTTTAGAAACCCGTTTTCCTACCGTATGCTGGTACCGAACACCACTCTCTCAAACTCTATAACTTTAGCTCTAGATCTAGTTTAACTGTCTTGGTCTCATGAGCCACACTGATGTCTTTCCCTTTGGAAGCAGCCCCCACGTGTGAAGCCCCTTCTAAGGCAGCGAAGTTGGTAGCATCCGCATCAGCTGCACGAGCAGGCCCCTTGGCTGATCCATTTAGAGCCTCAGTTCTTATCTGGCTCCACTCCACACATATCCTCTTGGCCCCTTGGGAGCTTCCCTCCATGATACTGTTCCAATTCCTGCCAGAAGATGTCACGTGGCGTGCTGACTCATCAGCATCACCCCCTCCCTGCTGTCCTGCTCTCGTGGCAGGCGCAGCTGGTGGCTGGTGGGCATACGACCCAGAGACAGAGAGCGGGGGGAGAATGGCAGATTGTGTATAAGGGGGAAGTGAAATGGGGCTAGGCGCACTGATACCTGGTTGCTGGGATGGGGGCTTGTGGACTGCTAGTGTGTGCACCTGAGCCTGCAATAAGCCCTGTGCCTGCAGTTGTGCCTGCAGCTGTGCCTGTGCCTGTGCCGGCATGTGTCCCACCAGGGGCTGTGCCATGGGATGGGCGAACGGATTCCCTCCAGCAGCCAGTGCATGGCTGTGGTGCAACGGGTTTGGGAGCGGTGCTGGTGGGTGCATGGAAGGCGCGCATACCAGGCCAGCTGGCAAATGGTGGGCAAGAGGGGATGGAGAAGCAGCAGCCGAATGGGGGTGGGAGGGGAGGGAGTGCTGGTTCCAAGCGTGAGCCATGGGGGCGAGATGGGTGGCGCCCGATGGGGGGGTGTGCATGTGCATGGGGAGGAGCGGAGCTAGACCATGGAAATTACTGCTGCTGCTGCTGGGGAGGATGGGGACAGCAGGATTGGTGGCAGGAGGCGGCATCATGGCCCACAGGTTGACAGGGCCCGTGGACGGGAGAGCAAAGGCTGGAGCAGAAGCAGCGGCACTGGCAGCGGCAGCAGCGAAAGCAGCCGATATGGAAGGATGATTCCCAGCAGCAGCAGCAGCTTGAGGGAGCAGGGCAGAGGCCGTGCGTCTCTCTTCTCTACCAGGCTCCGCCCCGCTGCCGCCTCTCTCTGCCTCATCGCCTCCCCCCACTGGCTCTGCCTCCACCGAGTGCGACCTGGAGCGCTTGACGGCGCACGGCAGGTGCCCATCCACGCGCGCTGACCCCACCTCCATGGAACCCCTCGTGGCCGCGGGGCTATGCTTCGACTGCTCCACCATCGGCTCGTCCGTGCAGCTCCCCGAGTCCCCCGCTGCCTCCGCCGCCGCCGCTGCTGCGTCCGCAGTGCTGGGCCTCTGGGGGTTTGCGAGCGTGGCTGCAGGTGGTGCGAGCGTGGTGCCGGCGGTGGAAAGCGCGAGCATGAGGTCGGGGCCAGGAGCAGCAGCAGAGGCAGCGGAGAGCGGCACTTGGTCCAGGGACACTGTGGAGTTGAGGCTCAGGCGGTGGGTCAGAGCAAGCGGCGCCACGGCGGAAGCTGCATCAGCAGCATCAGCAGCACCCGTGCCGCTGGCAGCAGCCACGTCTGCTGAGTCCGCCATGGCCGCTCGTCTCTCGTGATCCGTGCGCCGTCCCAGGCGAGCCCCAGCAGCGCCACCGCCCCTCTCAGCGCCGGGGGAAGCAGACGCAGCGACCTCCGTGTCTGCCTCTGCAGCAGCAGCAGCAGCAGCGAAGGCGGCGGCAGCGCAGTTGGGCAGGCTGATCGTGCAGGGCCCGGGCTGGCCGTGGTTGTGCTCGCCGTGGTACGACACCTGCGCCTGCGCCTGTGCCAACGCGCTGGAGGGCGCAGCACCAGAAGCGTTGGCCGTGTTGGCGCCGGCTGTAGCGGGTGGGGGTGTGGCGATGGGGAGATCCACTGTCTTGCGCGCCGTGCACCCCATGCTGTGCCGCGCACACCGGAAGTACGCCCTGGGGACGGAGGGCGGCACACCAGAGGGATGGCGCTCAGTGTCGCGACAAAACCACGGCGACGACGAGGACTTGTTAGAAGGGGTTGGAATCACGGAAGAGCGATGGGGTGAAGGAGAGCGACGACGACAAGCACGAGCAGTGGCAATGTGGGCACCACCGCGGCCATGCTGACAACAGCGTTAACTGGTGACGGCGTTACCTGGTGATGGCTTTGTCCATGACGCTCTTCTGGCCGTACTTGTGCCAGAAGTACCCGTCCGCCGCCACCACCGACCGGCTCCCCGCGTGCGCCACGGGCTTGCGCTTCCTGCGGGGTCGGACGGGCGGACACTCGATGAAGCGGGGAACATGCGCGCACTGTAAGAGACAGTCCGCGGACCGCGGACGACGAGGATTGGGGAAAGTGTCCGGCGTGGGAGCGGAGAAAAGCGACAAGAGAGGACAAGCGAGGAGAAGTACTGGCGACTCATGGCGAGACGCGGATCAGGAGCTCATCGCTGCGCATTTCGCGCGAGTTCGACTTACTTCGGCGCTCCCCGCGTCGGCGTGTTGTGCGGACCACCGCTTCCCCCGCCGTCTCCGGTCTCAAGCTCGCCGCATTGACCGCCGCGCAGCGCGGCGTCGCCCTCCGCGGAGGCGCCAGCGGCGATCGTCGGCGGAGCGACGCCAGACGGCGGATAATTCTGCCCCGCCGACAGCGGCGCGGGCTTGACGAAGACCGCCGCCTGAGGCAGAGCCGCGTCGCTGTGGTCGGAGTCGAACCGCGAGACGCCCGCCGGGAGCAGTGTCCTCGATAATAATTGCTTCGATAGGAGAGGTTGTTGGCTCAGATCCTGGCTTCTGCTGTGGTTACTCGCGGGCCGTTCCTGCCATGTTCGCGGGTCTGCGGTCGGGCTATGGGCGAACAGCTGCGACGTAGACACCAATTGCCCTTGCGCCGACGACCCCGCATTGCTCCCGTCTGGCCGCTCGTTCCCGCCGATGTGATTGTAATGAATGTGGCTGAAGCGATCGCTATGTGTCGCCGCAGCATACGGCAGGCTTTCCCTCGGCGAGCCGCTCAGCACGTCCATTGTGGAGCTTCCGGCGCGTGTCAGCGCGGAGGCCCACGTGGCAGGCACGTGCATTGCGGTGGAAGCGCTGGGATTTGAGGAGGATTTTCGGAGTGCGCCGCCGAGAGCCATCTCGCCGCCAGGGGCGGTGAATGCGCCAGCGCCGGAGCCGGAGAGCGACGCGAAGACGAGGGACGAGGGGCCGGGGCCCCACGAGGGCGACGCGAATGAAGGGGTGAAGTTGAGGCTGGGGATTGTCGCCGCATTCGGCGGAGGGAGCGCGAGGGTCGGTCGGTCGTCCGGCTTAGGCTGAGTCCCCTGGTCGACGTGCGGATACATCACAATCGCTCGATCCTGAGAATTCCGGACCTAAATTGACGAATAACGAGGAATTCGCAGGAACTGTCGTCCAGATCGCGGTCCTGTAGCTATGCGCGGCGATCGGGGTTCAAGGCGACTAACATCGATTCGACGCAGCTGAGGAAGAGCTATGTTTGCATGACAAAGATGTTTTCAATTCAATGGATGCGAGGTTGTAACCACAGTAGGCAGCAGCGGGAGTAGCACGACCAGGTCAAGCTGGACTCCCCCAATGATCAGTCAGCCGCAAGACACAAGACAGCCATGTGCCTCGCCCTCGCCCTTAGAGCTTGCTCCACTTCCCTGTTCTCGCCATGGCCGCTGCTGCTCTGTAAAATTCGCTCACTTGTCGATTCAGCACCACCGCCCCTGCACGCAGAACCGAGCCAAGCCACCCCAACTGGCAGCGGGACAGAACCTCTCTGACCTGGTCGGGTAGCATTCGCCGTCCGTTTTCATCCTCTCCACCGCGGAACAGACCCAGAATTTCGAGCTCCACAGAAACTAATGCGGCGACAGCTGTCTGATCCATGGGGATCATGTACCTCGCACCACGGCAAGGGCATGAGGGCCAAAGGGCTAAAAACATTGTTGCGAGTGGGGGAATTAGCCAATCCCTTTCTTCCGTCCAGGCTGGCCCATTCGCGTCTCCAGCAGAAATTTGCGTGAGCCCAACCCTGCTGAGTCTTCGCTTCCCATGCTTGGCTCGCATACAGTTGTTGATTTTCCAGAACAAACGGAGTCAACTTGGACGAATGCATTAACTTCTGGTTACTGTACATGCGTGCAAAAAAAAAAAAGCAAAAAAAAAAAAACCGGACACGAGAGAAAGGAAGATTCAACATTGGAAAATCATATGCAAAAAATATTTCGGCCGGGTGGACATATGCTGCCTGACTCAAAGCGGGGTTACTCCATCATGTGGCTTGCCGCCACGCCTCCCTCATTGGCTTGCATGTGGCAACTCGGGGATGAGGGTTTTGCGGTCACCTAACAGACACATTGCCTGACCAGCAGTTCGTCTCTCGTCTCGACCAGGGCTTACTTTTGGTTTTTAGTCACCCTCCTTGAGATTTTACTCTTACTTTTCAAGGTCCAGCAAAAGGCAACCCTTAAGCATTAGGGCTCGTTCGCGCATTACCATTTTAACTGCCACGGTTAGAATCTACCAGGAGATGTATGGACAAGACGAAAAGGGCGTGAGTAACGTGCACGGGGCTGTGAGGGGAGAATAACGAAAATCTACCAAGGGAGTTGTCTCCCCTCTGTTGGTGACTTCGAGGTGTGAGTAACGTGCTGTGAGGGGAAAATAACAAAAATCTAAGGGAGCTGTCTCCCATCCGTTGGTGGCTACGAGGTATGAGTGACGTGCTGTGAGGGGAGAACGACGAAAATATTCGAGGGGAGTTATCTCCCCTCTGTTCGTCAGTTGGTGTGAGAACGTGTTGTGAGGGGAGAACGACGAAAATCTTCGAAGGAGATCCTCCCTATAGCCCTACCAGCACTACTAGTACACTCCGGGTAGGAAAATACTGTACCCTTACAATCTAAGGTTACAGTCCTAATAAACTATTAATCGCCGGGTATATAAAAAGCCGACTTTTAATTTGTGAGGACAGTCGAAAAACTACTCTTAATTTGACTCAAATTCAGGGGGAAGGGCGATTCCACAACCACCCTTGAAAGTTTTGTCAAGGCTTTTGTACAAGATGCATCCAAGGCCCTTTGTCGCAGATACGATACTATGCTTGGCGTTTCTCCAAGGCATGGAGGTTCGCGGTGCTTCACCTAGAGTTGTCCCAAGATGCGTTGCATGCGCTGTCGCAAAATGACGGTGGCGGGAGCGGTGATGCCAAAACAAGAAGAAATGGACAAAATGTGCTAGTCTTCCGAGCATGGAGCGCAGATTCTTCGGCGACGAAGGTTCGATTCGCAAAGATGCCAGGGTGACATCGCCAGAAACGTCCAGCCCCAGGCTTTGCAAGTTTTTTTGCTAGATCGGACGATCCGGGCCCCTGTAAAAATGGCCCTCTATCATAAGTCTCAGTAGGACGAATTCCCAGATTTCTCAGGGTACAATCGAGCGTGTCTCTGTTTTGCAGGACGGACATGCGTGTCTCTGTCTTTGCAGGACGGACATTGCTGGTACGAGTGGGAGCAGCGATTCCGCCTGCTCACACGAGCACCTTTCTGGAGCAACAGACGATACTCACTCCCGCCTGTGAAGGAGTTGTATCATGCACGTTGAGCTACATTCGGGGGGAGGTGGGGGGAATGATGGGCGGGAACAATCGTCCGTGCCAGGTAATTCTGAAAACGTCCAAGTGACCCTTGATCTGGTAACGTGCGTGAAGGGGAGGTTGGGGAACAGGATAAAGGGGATATGGAAAGCATTCGTCATCCCCCGGAGAACCCAGATGTCGGGTTCTCTGTTCACCAAAAACCATATGGACTGACGCGGGTCAGTAGAAACTTTTCCTGATTTAATCAGGGGCGGTCTATCAAAAGCCCTGGAAAACACAGGTTGCATAGCTGCTAGCCCGCACTAGCCCCGCCTGGCCCAGCCGCGGGCCTCAGCAGGGGCTGAGGTAATTGTACGTTTTTTGGGTTGCGTAGCAACCTTTTATAATCGGTCGGTGGACCGATTGTGGTGGGCCGATATTGCACTACATATTATTCTCAATCTTATCGAGATAATAACCCATATCATTTTTGGGTTGTGTAGCAACCTTTTATAATCGGTCGGTGGACCGATTGTGGTGGGCCGATATTGCACTACATATTATTCTCAATCTTATCGAGATAATAACCCATATCATTTTTTAGGGTCTAATGCATCCTTTACTCTAAAATTTTGTATTATTAGTAGTATTGATTTCCACATACGTATTCCTGCTGTTTCTAGTGTGTGTATTTGTTATTTTTTCTCTCTTTTGTTGTAGTTGTAGTTATTATTACTATTATTTTTAGTATTATCATCATCATTATTATTATTACTAATATTACTACTACTAAGACTATTATTATTATTATTATTATTATTATTATTATTATTACTATTACTATGACTACTATTGATATTACTATTGTCATATATTTTTATCTATTCTTTTACTTTTCTATCCATTATTATTATACTGCTATTGTTAGACTTAGCTAACCATTTTATCGTGCAAGACAAATCCATGCTATTCTATTTGATATGTCGGCGAAACTCATACCGACATAAAAAAAGAAGAATAACATAGAGATTTGGGCCAACTATCTAAGCTACTTATGAATGATGAGAGTCTCAAATCATTCGACGTCGATAATTACGGCGGAGAATGATAGAGATACTATATTAAAACAGCACGCAATACATTATGGCAAACAAAAATTACGAAACAGTAGCGAATGCAACGAAGCAGACACATGAATGCTTTCGTGCTATGATGGCGATTGACATGCACGTTATGAGAAGAAAGTCTCAAACCGACAACGACAATCGCTAATTGTATACCATACTAGGCATAGTTAGCATCGTTCCTAGCAACGCATGCCATCGAGCACATTATATAGTACAATATTACGGGTAGGAAAACGAACGCGTCAATGCTTTCATGCTACAATAGAGATTGACATGCACGTTATGGGAAGCGAGTCCCCAGACCGGCAACGACAATCGCAAATTGTATACCGCACTAGGCGTAGTCAGCATCAGGGCTGACGTTTCAAAAAAACCCCCCCTGAGCTGTCGAATAAAAAAAACGTTTACCCTGAGGGCTCAGGTTTCAAAAATTGCCTACCCTGATTTGTAAGGGTTCAGAAATCTGGAACCCTGAAAATCCCAGGGTTCACCGAGCGCGTTCAGGGTTGCCTTCAACACGAGGGGGGAATTAAAAATGGGGGGAAAAAGGGGAGGGAATCAAACCGAGGGGAGGGGGAGAGCGAAACGGAGGGGAAGGGGGAGGATGGAAACATAGGGGAAGAGAAGAAGCGAAACGGGGAGGGAAAAAGTGGGGGTTGGGGGGTGGGGGAAGTTCGAAATACAGTCGAGGAATGGGAGAAGCGAAACGGAGGGGAAGGGGGGATCGAAACGGAGGGGAAGGGGGGATCAAAACGGAGGGGAAGGGGGGATCGAAACGGAGGGGAAGGGGGGATCGAAACGGAGGGGAAGGGGGGATCGAAACGGAGGGGAAGGGGGGATCGAAACGGAGGGGAAGGGGGGATCGAAACGGAGGGGAAGGGGGGATCGAAACGGAGGGGAGGGGGAGTCGAAACCAAGGAAGAAAGGGGGAGCGAATCAAAACCAAGATGCGAGGGGCGAAACGGAGGGGAGATGGGGGAATCGAAATGGAGGGGAGGGGGGAAACGAAACGGAGGGGGAGTGGGGGGAGCGAAAATGGAGGGGAGGGAGGAATCGAAGTGGATTGGAGGGGGGAAGCTGGGTAATAGGGCGGTCGGAGAAAATTCGCGCCCTAGCAGCGCCCCGGCTGGGAGATCTTGGACGTTGATCAATGTGACCATCTAACGGTTTAAATATGTCGAAACGATCGCAATCGATCTTGACCGTTACATTTTCATAGACTTAGCTAATTTTTGTGGGTTGTTGTTAGTGTGTAGGGGGGATGTCTGTACGACACATGACTTAGCCGATTTTTGTGGGTTGCTTGGTGTGTGAGGGAATGTTTGAGGACTTCACCAATTTTTGTAGGTTGTTGCGTGTGGGGGGGAATGTCTCTGGAGATTGGGGACTTAGCCTAAATTTCCGCATTGTGAGCCACATGGATGTCGCACTCAGGGTTCGTACGCGTTACTCCCTGAAAACTCAGTGTTGGGATAACGGAAACCCTGAAATTCTCAGTGTTCACAGACATACAACCCTGAAGAGGTTAGGGTTCAAAAAAGCCCAACCCTGAAAATTAAGGGTTGGCCGAAAAAATACCCTGTGAAATCAGGGAATCAGGGTAAAATACCCTGATAACGACAGGGCTGGTCAGCATCGTTTCCACGAGGACAATACAATACAACTAGGTATGTGCATGACGTAACAATACAATACATATAGAACATATGCACAAGACACGGTAAACATCATTGACAACAAAAAATACGGAACAGTAGTGAATGCAACGAAGCAAGCGCATTAATGCTTTTGTGTTGACATGCGCGTTATGGGAAGAATGTCCCAAACCGGCAAAGACAATCGCAAATTGTACTGTGCACTAGGCATACGCTGCGTCGTCTCACTGCACCCACAGCAAAATGCACTCTCTTAATAACGCATGCCTTTGAGCACATTACATAGTACAATATTACGGGCAAGAAAACGAACGTGTCAATGCTCTCGTGCTACAATGAGACTCACATTTTGGGAATCGAGTCCCAAGACACGCAATGACAATCACAAATTGTGTACAACAATGGGCATAGTGAGTATCGATTTCACAAGGGTACGACACAATACAATTATGTGCATGTCGTAGCAATGCGGTACGTAGAAAACACAGGCATACCACATGGTACACTATTGACCGAACGATAGACCAACATGATAGTACATGACAGGGATACACACGGAAAGAAATAGGTTAACACAAAAGCATGGTTATCAAAAATGAAAAACATAGGACCCATTATCTTAAGATGCTACCTTGCCCAAGTCTTAGACCCTCCACTCGCCTTCCCCACCACCCCACCCATTCCATTCCCCCCCAATCATCCCCCTCCCCTCCCATTTCCCCGGTGACGTTTCGTTGCTACAAATTGTATCAATTTAATTCAAGTTGTTCGAGTAAGTGGAAGGCCATCCACTTGAAAGGGATGAAAAATAGTAGATAAAATGTGTATAGTATAATAGTATGAAGAGTTCAGTTGACAACTTATATGTATCGATGACTTACTCTTAGAGACGACGGAGAACCTTCGTAGGAGTTGCGGGATGTATGACATCAGTGCTGGTACCAATCCGCTTGTTATTGTCATTTGTTGATGGGAAGTCCTAAGCATTATCCAGTATAACAAGACAGGTAGTCGATGGTAAGGTTTGGTTCGAACGAAAAACAACACAGTGTATGTAAATATACTAAGCGACATGGTGATTATACTCACAGAATCAGAGGGGCGATTGAGTGAAATTATCGACCTTGTTATCCCATCCTAGATGCCACATACCTTCACCTGTGAGCATAATATGGATAACACAAACCAAAAGAGAAGTCAAACATAACTCAAAATTTCTTACAAAACACAAATGACGAATTTGTTGGTATGAATAACAACATGCTGTTGTGTTGTATATTCCTTACTTGGATGAGCCATCTTCCAATTAGACCAGTCAGCATTTTGTGTTTCTGTTCGTTGTCTGCCATGCTGAACTCAAGGGTACAAGCATTCGGAATAACTTGCTCGATCGCCTCCAATTCGATCTTTGCCAGTACGCCCTTGCGAATCCCGATTTTTTTGTCACGCACTGGAAAAAGAGACGCACGTATGTGTAGAGGTAAGATGTATGTTGTATATTGAGCTGAAGAGCATGCTATTTATGGGTATCATATACAATACTTTATGCATTAACTACTAACCTTCCTGATTGTCGAATGTGACTCCAATCTAAGTGAAACACTTGGCATCCATCTCCTCATGTCTCGCGGAGCACTTCCATCGTTGGCTGGTGTAAAAGTAGCGAGCATTGCGACCGCAGACACCCCCCCCTTCAATCGTGTCATCATGAATACAATGCTAACCTGCATTGACAATAAATTCGGTGATCGCGCCGCGTGTAATGGCCACATTTTCGTTCCGCCTTGCACGAGCGTGATCTTCCATGCCGGCAAGCCTGCAACGAAAATGTGCATAGTGTTCAGCTTCAATAAATGACCGCACAGTACTAAAGATATTTGAGTAAGATTGAAAATAATAACTTACGAAGCAACTTCGCCCCAATCCTTTCAAACAGGAATCATTAAAGCGTTGTGAAAGCAACTTCGCCCCAATCCCCACTTACGTTAAAAGCAGCAACTCCGGATGGCGCCAATTTTAACACTTTGAGAGATGTAGGGTCAGAATGAATCGTTGCGTTAAACATCCGTGTAATCCTTTCCATCAAAGCTCGAATGAGAACCGATTTTCCCACTCCAGCTCCACTAGATATAAACAGACGAAGCAATGTATAACTCGTTTGTATGTGATGCACGACATGATTACTAATTGCGCGCTGTTCCGCATTTAATATCTTCTCCAGCAGCATATATTCCGAACTGTCAACGTTGATATGCTTGAACAAATCAGTGCTCCTTTTAACAACATCTTGCATATTCAACTCGTTTGCAAGATCGATATGGTCAACTATATTATTTGAATCTTGTGTTTCGATTAATATGCGATCATCGTTGGCTTGTTCGGCTTCTTTGAATGTGTCTGCCCATGTATCTAACTCTTTCATGAACTCTTGTTCTTTCGTAATAATATCTCGCTCAAATCTGTGATATGTATCAGAACATTCAGCATGGTCGATTGGCTCCTCTTGAAAATGATGAAACAGTAAAACCCTCTCTCGAATATAACTGTCATAATTCTGATTCTTATGATAATTCATAAATCTTATAATCTTACACTTTCTGCGCTTATAATAGAATATCTTTTTCTTAATTAAGTCAGGACCAATCAAGTGTAATTTATGCTTGCTCGAATCGTATGGAGCCAATTCATACTTGGAAATAAAATCGGCCAAGCACGTATGTTCCATAGCTTCTGGCCTTAACTTATACTTTTGAATGCATGCGTAAGGTTTATACACGTCCGTGCTCGTTGAGTCTAATAGGCGCAATTTATTAATAGGCTTAAGGTTTAGTAGTCGTTCATTATGTGGTGATGTATTAATGAAGACGACTTGTCGTGTTGACATGCGATACTGTAACCCAACTAGCAAATAGCATGCTTCTTGTGCGCTTATTTCTTGAGAATTCAATATTGCGTTTCCAATGGTACGAAGAATTCCCTTTATTCCTGATTTTTTGTTACGAGCGTATGCTAAAGCCTTCTGCAACATGGTTTTCATACCTTTATTTGATTTTGTCATATACGATACAATATACGTCGCCACGCCATATGGATCAATGCACAACTGAATATCCATATTTCTATTCCATACTCTGAAAAGGGTGGGATTATAATTGTTTATGTAGACAACACTTACCTGACGATGTAGAATCAGTGTTGTTCGCTTTAGTGATGACCGGATAACAAGCAGGTATTCATCGAAAACAAGACAAACCTTTTGAAAAAAGACAATGAAAGTGATGTTACTTCCGGACGATGCACCATCGAGCCACTCCTTTACGCGCTTTGCATCACTCGCCAATTTTTGTCGCTCCCATTCAGATAGGGTAGGAGGAATGGGATGTAAAAGCATCGTTGAAGGTAACGGGAATCTTGGAAAACCACACCTACACTTACGTAAGGAACTCGATCGTTGGCAAGTTCTTGAGTGTTTGTGTGTTTGTAACGACAACAATTGTGGATATAAGCCTCTAGAGCTCGTATTGATATGTTTATCTGCGTACGTTATAATAGCGTCCGCTCCAGCGATGCCAATCTCGTTCGCACCTTTACTCCAAACAACGGCATGCGTATGTGGCGCGCCACGATGTTGAAATCCGTCAAGTGCAAAATAGTCATCGATTCCATCAAGACCGTCAGACTTGTTATTCAGCATATAACAAAACAACAATCTCTTTCTATATGCGTAATATTGTGCACAAGTCGCAGGGTCATTTCTTACCAACATGGTAATCGTACTATACTGTAACGGTAAGCGTATCCCGGACGACAATTTATATGGATTCCCACGTAATGTATTTACTCTTAAAAGTATCGCATGAAGATCAACCCAGCGGGTATCTGCCATTGAAAGGGTTATAAAGAACGTTGGCCTACCGATTTGACGCAAAAGTGGAAAAAGATGGCGCTTGCAATTGTCTCTGTATTGCTGTGTTGAATGGATGACCTTAAAATCATTATATAAGGTATCGTTTTGTTGAAGCGTGAAGTGCTTATTTTCGTTCAACATATCTGTCGCGGTAAATGCTTCTAGATTCCTAATTTTGTCTTGTCGTACACGCGTGGCAATTACATTTTGCACATGTAATATCTCTTTTTATACATTTTGAAAAAAATGTTGGATATATTTGATGAGCATCGACCATTTGTATGCTTTAGTTCCCACTTTGCAATATCCGAATACAATACATGCAAGTCTGTTGATGCACGCGCTCTTTGATTACCACCATAGATTGTTGGGAAACTCAATTCTTCGACATCTTTATCTAATATTATGGACAACGGTTTTGATTGCTCTCCTGGTGCCATTTGCACTAAGCTCTGTAATGGATGCTGATAAAAAGGCTCTTGCGTAATAAGAGCGTCGAGTACACCAACGTTTACGCTATTCGTGTCGTTGCTATCACTTGACACTCTTGATGAAGAATCTCTTTCGCCATTGGCTGAATTCGCATCGTCCATAAGTGGTTTGCTGTGTATAGTGTCTAACTCATTCAAATTATTTTTGTGTAAGACAATTTTGTTGTTAGTAAAAGGTTGTTGTCTACAAAGGAAGTTTATCGCTTTCAAGATTTTAGCAGGCCTCACGTTTTCCTCAAATGCACTATGTTTGTACTCCATCTTGTGTTTCAATCTGACCGTAACTGTATGTGTATCATCGAGCAACCTCGGCAATGAGGATACCATATGGCTAACTTCAACAGGAATGTTGATAACTCCGCCTCGTATGCCGTATTGTTTTCCAATGGACAATGAACGTATATTCATGAATGGTATGGGCGGACTTATTAAACGTTCTTCTAGCGTTGTAAGGTTTTTGAGTTCAACGGGTTGAGACGGAAAGCCTACTTTATTTAACGTAAAAAATGGTGGATCCTTTCCTTTCCTAATGTAACGTGCACAACTTTGACACACGATTTGTTCCACATTTCCCAGCTTCGCATTTGCCACGTTCTGTTGAAAACACATTGTTCCATATGACAGGCACGGAAAATCGGGTCCATCTTTGCATTTCTGCAAAAACTTCTCAGTATACTGATCCTTGTCTTGTTTAATCGGTACTGCTTCTATGTTATCGTCCTTGAAAATATCGTCAAGCTCTAGATGCGCAATAAGGCCACCGCTATCATCTAGAACCCTGTTTGTTATATCAAGAATGTAATTTTTATGTTCACGAAGTTTGCTACAAATAAAAATGTTCTCGCCAATGCGGCATCTACGTCGTGTGCAAAACCTGAATGCGTATAACGTTTGCCATTACAATTCACCAAGAATTAAAAACCCTTTGCTGTACGTCTTACACCTATAAAGTGC